TGGTTGACTGACGCTACATTCTCCCCACCTGCCATTCCCTCAAACCCCCTACCCAACCCTCCTCTCCCTCCCCCCGCTCACCCGACTCCTTCCCCACGCCGATCTGCCTCTGCATAACAGTGGTTGACTGACGCTACATTCTCCCCACCTGCCATTCCCTCAAACCCCCTACCCAACCCTCCTCTCCCTCCCCCCGCTCACCCGACTCCTTCCCCACGCCGATCTGCCTCTGCATAACAGTGGTTGACTGACGCTACATTCTCCCCACCTGCCATTCCCTCAAACCCCCTACCCAACCCTCCTCTCCCTCCCCCCGCTCACCCGACTCCTTCCCCACGCCGATCTGCCTCTGCATAACAGTGGTTGACCGACGCTACATTCTCCCCACCTGCCATTCCCTCAAACCCCCTACCCAACCCTCCTCTCCCTCCCCCCGCTCACCCGACTCCTTCCCCACGCCGATCTGCCTCTGCATAACAGTGGTTGACTGACGCTACATTCTCCCCACCTGCCATTCCCTCAAACCCCCTACCCAACCCTCCTCTCCCTCCCCCCGCTCACCCGACTCCTTCCCCACGCCGATCTGCCTCTGCATAACAGTGGTTGACTGACGCTACATTCTCCCCACCTGCCATTCCCTCAAACCCCCTACCCAACCCTCCTCTCCCTCCCCCCGCTCACCCGACTCCTTCCCCACGCCGATCTGCCTCTGCATAACAGTGGTTGACTGACGCTACATTCTCCCCACCTGCCATTCCCTCAAACCCCCTACCCAACCCTCCTCTCCCTCCCCCCGCTCACCCGACTCCTTCCCCACGCCGATCTGCCTCTGCATAACAGTGGTTGACTGACGCTACATTCTCCCCACCTGCCATTCCCTCAAACCCCCTACCCAACCCTCCTCTCCCTCCCCCCGCTCACCCGACTCCTTCCCCACGCCGATCTGCCTCTGCATAACAGTGGTTGACTGACGCTACATTCTCCCCACCTGCCATTCCCTCAAACCCCCTACCCAACCCTCCTCTCCCTCCCCCCGCTCACCCGACTCCTTCCCCACGCCGATCTGCCTCTGCATAACAGTGGTTGACCGACGCTACATTCTCCCCACCTGCCATTCCCTCAAACCCCCTACCCAACCCTCCTCTCCCTCCCCCCGCTCACCCGACTCCTTCCCCACGCCGATCTGCCTCTGCATAACAGTGGTTGACTGACGCTACATTCTCCCCACCTGCCATTCCCTCAAACCCCCTACCCAACCCTCCTCTCCCTCCCCCCGCTCACCCGACTCCTTCCCCACGCCGATCTGCCTCTGCATAACAGTGGTTGACCGACGCTACATTCTCCCCACCTGCCATTCCCTCAAACCCCCTACCCAACCCTCCTCTCCCTCCCCCCGCTCACCCGACTCCTTCCCCACGCCGATCTGCCTCTGCATAACAGTGGTTGACTGACGCTACATTCTCCCCACCTGCCATTCCCTCAAACCCCCTACCCAACCCTCCTCTCCCTCCCCCCGCTCACCCGACTCCTTCCCCACGCCGATCTGCCTCTGCATAACAGTGGTTGACTGACGCTACATTCTCCCCACCTGCCATTCCCTCAAACCCCCTACCCAACCCTCCTCTCCCTCCCCCCGCTCACCCGACTCCTTCCCCACGCCGATCTGCCTCTGCATAACAGTGGTTGACTGACGCTACATTCTCCCCACCTGCCATTCCCTCAAACCCCCTACCCAACCCTCCTCTCCCTCCCCCCGCTCACCCGACTCCTTCCCCACGCCGATCTGCCTCTGCATAACAGTGGTTGACTGACGCTACATTCTCCCCACCTGCCATTCCCTCAAACCCCCTACCCAACCCTCCTCTCCCTCCCCCCGCTCACCCGACTCCTTCCCCACGCCGATCTGCCTCTGCATAACAGTGGTTGACTGACGCTACATTCTCCCCACCTGCCATTCCCTCAAACCCCCTACCCAACCCTCCTCTCCCTCCCCCCGCTCACCCGACTCCTTCCCCACGCCGATCTGCCTCTGCATAACAGTGGTTGACTGACGCTACATTCTCCCCACCTGCCATTCCCTCAAACCCCCTACCCAACCCTCCTCTCCCTCCCCCCGCTCACCCGACTCCTTCCCCACGCCGATCTGCCTCTGCATAACAGTGGTTGACTGACGCTACATTCTCCCCACCTGCCATTCCCTCAAACCCCCTACCCAACCCTCCTCTCCCTCCCCCCGCTCACCCGACTCCTTCCCCACGCCGATCTGCCTCTGCATAACAGTGGTTGACTGACGCTACATTCTCCCCACCTGCCATTCCCTCAAACCCCCTACCCAACCCTCCTCTCCCTCCCCCCGCTCACCCGACTCCTTCCCCACGCCGATCTGCCTCTGCATAACAGTGGTTGACTGACGCTACATTCTCCCCACCTGCCATTCCCTCAAACCCCCTACCCAACCCTCCTCTCCCTCCCCCCGCTCACCCGACTCCTTCCCCACGCCGATCTGCCTCTGCATAACAGTGGTTGACTGACGCTACATTCTCCCCACCTGCCATTCCCTCAAACCCCCTACCCAACCCTCCTCTCCCTCCCCCCGCTCACCCGACTCCTTCCCCACGCCGATCTGCCTCTGCATAACAGTGGTTGACTGACGCTACATTCTCCCCACCTGCCATTCCCTCAAACCCCCTACCCAACCCTCCTCTCCCTCCCCCCGCTCACCCGACTCCTTCCCCACGCCGATCTGCCTCTGCATAACAGTGGTTGACTGACGCTACATTCTCCCCACCTGCCATTCCCTCAAACCCCCTACCCAACCCTCCTCTCCCTCCCCCCGCTCACCCGACTCCTTCCCCACGCCGATCTGCCTCTGCATAACAGTGGTTGACCGACGCTACATTCTCCCCACCTGCCATTCCCTCAAACCCCCTACCCAACCCTCCTCTCCCTCCCCCCGCTCACCCGACTCCTTCCCCACGCCGATCTGCCTCTGCATAACAGTGGTTGACTGACGCTTCATTCTCCCCACCTGCCATTCCCTCAAACCCCCTACCCAACCCTCCTCTCCCTCCCCCCGCTCACCCGACTCCTTCCCCACGCCGATCTGCCTCTGCATAACAGTGGTTGACTGACGCTACATTCTCCCCACCTGCCATTCCCTCAAACCCCCTACCCAACCCTCCTCTCCCTCCCCCCGCTCACCCGACTCCTTCCCCACGCCGATCTGCCTCTGCATAACAGTGGTTGACTGACGCTACATTCTCCCCACCTGCCATTCCCTCAAACCCCCTACCCAACCCTCCTCTCCCTCCCCCCGCTCACCCGACTCCTTCCCCACGCCGATCTGCCTCTGCATAACAGTGGTTGACCGACGCTACATTCTCCCCACCTGCCATTCCCTCAAACCCCCTACCCAACCCTCCTCTCCCTCCCCCCGCTCACCCGACTCCTTCCCCACGCCGATCTGCCTCTGCATAACAGTGGTTGACTGACGCTACATTCTCCCCACCTGCCATTCCCTCAAACCCCCTACCCAACCCTCCTTTCCCTCCCCCCGCTCACCCGACTCCTTCCCCACGCCGATCTGCCTCTGCATAACAGTGGTTGACTGACGCTACATTCTCCCCACCTGCCATTCCCTCAAACCCCCTACCCAACCCTCCTCTCCCTCCCCCCGCTCACCCGACTCCTTCCCCACGCCGATCTGCCTCTGCATAACAGTGGTTGACCGACGCTACATTCTCCCCACCTGCCATTCCCTCAAACCCCCTACCCAACCCTCCTCTCCCTCCCCCCGCTCACCCGACTCCTTCCCCACGCCGATCTGCCTCTGCATAACAGTGGTTGACTGACGCTACATTCTCCCCACCTGCCATTCCCTCAAACCCCCTACCCAACCCTCCTCTCCCTCCCCCCGCTCACCCGACTCCTTCCCCACGCCGATCTGCCTCTGCATAACAGTGGTTGACTGACGCTACATTCTCCCCACCTGCCATTCCCTCAAACCCCCTACCCAACCCTCCTCTCCCTCCCCCCGCTCACCCGACTCCTTCCCCACGCCGATCTGCCTCTGCATAACAGTGGTTGACTGACGCTACATTCTCCCCACCTGCCATTCCCTCAAACCCCCTACCCAACCCTCCTCTCCCTCCCCCCGCTCACCCGACTCCTTCCCCACGCCGATCTGCCTCTGCATAACAGTGGTTGACCGACGCTACATTCTCCCCACCTGCCATTCCCTCAAACCCCCTACCCAACCCTCCTCTCCCTCCCCCGCTCACCCGACTCCTTCCCCACGCCGATCTGCCTCTGCATAACAGTGGTTGACTGACGCTACCTTCTCCCCACCTGCCATTCCCTCAAACCCCCTACCCAACCCTCCTTTCCCTCCCCCCGCTCACCCGACTCCTTCCCCACGCCGATCTGCCTCTGCATAACAGTGGTTGACTGACGCTACATTCTCCCCACCTGCCATTCCCTCAAACCCCCTACCCAACCCTCCTCTCCCTCCCCCCGCTCACCCGACTCCTTCCCCACGCCGATCTGCCTCTGCATAACAGTGGTTGACTGACGCTACATTCTCCCCACCTGCCATTCCCTCAAACCCCCTACCCAACCCTCCTCTCCCTCCCCCCGCTCACCCGACTCCTTCCCCACGCCGATCTGCCTCTGCATAACAGTGGTTGACTGACGCTACATTCTCCCCACCTGCCATTCCCTCAAACCCCCTACCCAACCCTCCTCTCCCTCCCCCCGCTCACCCGACTCCTTCCCCACGCCGATCTGCCTCTGCATAACAGTGGTTGACTGACGCTTCATTCTCCCCACCTGCCATTCCCTCAAACCCCCTACCCAACCCTCCTCTCCCTCCCCCCGCTCACCCGACTCCTTCCCCACGCCGATCTGCCTCTGCATAACAGTGGTTGACTGACGCTACATTCTCCCCACCTGCCATTCCCTCAAACCCCCTACCCAACCCTCCTCTCCCTCCCCCCGCTCACCCGACTCCTTCCCCACGCCGATCTGTGGCCCCACGCCCGCCACCGTGCCGCGGTTGACCAGCGCTTTGATCGCCAGAAAGTCGTACCCCAGATTCGTCAGCCGGTACCCGTCGTCTGGCGTGGGGAGGAAAAGAGGGGGAAGGGGGGGGGGGAGGGAGGGAGGGGGGATAAGGGGGCAGAGAAGGAGCCCATGTTCGTCAGCCCTCAGTTGACCAGCGCATTTATCATGAGAAAGCCATCCCCAAATTCGTCAGCCGGTAGCCGTTGTCTGGCGAGGGGGGTGGGGGTGGGGGTGGGGTTGTGCCGCGAGGGGGGAAGAGAATGCGGGGATGATCATCATGGAGAGGTGGAGAAGGGGAGGTGACTTTTGAGTCGACTCAAAAGTCACCTAGAGAATGGGGGGATGATAATCTTGGAGAGGTGGAGAAGGGGAGGCGTGGGGGCAGCAGGAGTAGAGGGATGGGGGGAGACACGGCGGACGGAGGGGATTCAGTCAGTAGGTAGGAGAGACTTACACTTGGTGGAATCATGGTGCACTAGCTTGTGCCTGAGAAGGGTGTTGAGTGCCTTGTAGGCGCCCCCTCGCCTGCAGGGAGGGAGAGAGCGGGGGGGTGAAGGAGAGTTTAAGCATGGAGAAGAGGGAGGGAGGCTGCTGTCTCAGCAGGGTGTTGAGTGCCTTGTAGGACGGAGAAGCAAGAGGCGGATGCAATGGCGCATGCGACAGCACGATTAGCAGGAGACGAAGAAGCGACGAAAAATATGTTGGACAAGAAGACGCCCAGCGGGGTTTGGCAGGGATTTGGGGTAGAGCAGAGGAAGGCGAGATTGGGAGGGGGGATTGCACGGAATGGAGAAAACAGACATCTCGAGGGAAAAGGGTCGAGTAGGGGGGATGGAACAGACGGCGATTTGGGGTTTATGGATTTGTGGCAACAAACAGCAAAACGCAGTCGCAGGGCTTTTAGTGTGCGGGTTGTGCGCGGGCACGGGTGCAGAGGGAGGCAGTAAAAGATGCTGACTCACTTGAGGCTCGCGATGCGCTCTACCAGCTCCGATGGCACGATCTCGTGCTGCCACGTGTGCACGGGGGAAGAGGGAAGGGAGGGGTGTGGGCGGCGTGGGGAGGAATTGAACGAGGAGGATATTCTAACGACTAGTAGTGGCCTACAGCCACTAATACGTCATTAGTGCTCTGAACCGACCGCGCTGCCCTAACTTGCCGTCTCTCATGGAACAAGGTAAGGCGCAGCGGGTTCAGGGTTCAAGGAGGGGTTTCAGCGCCAGCTAATGCGGCCTGTTGCCTCGAGGAAAATTCAGGCCAGGAACGGTGGACAGATGTCGAATTCGAGATCGCTTCGACTCCGCTGACTCGATCACCCCCCCTGCTCAGTGGAGTTTGGCCTAAGTGGCATGGTTTTCCGCTGCTCGCCTTTTAATAACGGACGTACATTGCGCATGCCCATTTCAACGGCGGTGAGGACGCGAAATTCATCCTTGGAGAGGTACCGCAGCGCGTTCACGTCGAACTTCATCTCTGCGCGCTACTTGCTGCTCGCTGCTCGCAGGGTGCGGGTGAGCTGGCTACCTGTAAAGCGACTAATTAAGAAAGATAGGTCTAGCAGAAGCGAAGTGACGAACCTAGTAACATCCCAGACATCACCGATGACCAGTCCGATATAGCTGAAGAAACTGGACGAGTGAGAGCTGAGGGACTAGGAAATGCAAGGGCCACCCAGAGAAGGTGAATGGCATGATTGCAGGGATGATAAGGGCGCGTCACATTTTTTTTTCTAACACGCCTCAGGGTCGAACATGCAGAGAAGTTGAAAGCGGTTTGGTGTGCTAAACTACGTTCTTTAGTTAAATAGACGTGGTACAGTACGGTGAATGTTCGGTTCCGAAGCTGTTCGTGAAAATGAGACACCCAAGCCAAGAACCACGTGAATGGCGAGACGATTGCGAAATGCGCGTTACAAAACCAGCATCCATTTGGATATTATACCATTGTAATTAATGCAAAAGGCTAAAGATGGCTACAATTTCATGTAGTTTTTATTAATAGGTCTACAAGCTTATATGTCATAAGACCGCCCAAGTATTTAATGCTGATTTTACAACGGCGAATTTATGAATTAAAAGCAGCATACAATATTTTGACTGTAGTTGGATACCATTCCATCAACCAAGCGGATTCAACCGCATTATGGTAGTATTATTGTGAAACGCATTCGATGGGCGGTTTCATGGGATTGACCTGAATTCATAATGGGGCTCGTAATCTTCCTCCCCGCCTTGATTTCATCTCCGAGTTTTTCCCGCCTTGCCTGTTTTTCTCTGAGTTTGATTTCATTATGTCCTTCAGCCAGCGCAACCCCTTGCCAAAGGGATTCGTGTGTGGCGCTAGGAACCTCGAGATCAGCCAGAAATTTTCGTCATGTGTAACCATCGCGGTGATCCGTTTTCCTCGCCAGTGCTTCTTCAGGATGGCGGGTAACCAGCTCTATGCCTTATCGGGTGGTTTTCTCGCTGGCCCTGGCATGCCACTCTCCGGTTGTGTCTCGGATCAATGTGCTACCTTGGGATCTTACCCCTCGAATTTTGTGGAGAATCCGCTCCGCTTGGGCGCAGCGAATCGCTTACTTCGTGCGGGCAGCCTCCGCTGTCTAGGTGAGGGGGGTAAACGGGGAGGCGCGGTGTAACAACCCTTGCCCTTATATCATGGGCAACAAGGGTTGAAGTCAAAACCCAACATCCAAGATCCTAGGATATAATAATGGAGTACAAAATCAACCAAAGATCCCCTAGCGTGGTATTTAGGAGGAACCTCCTCTAAGAGATAGCTTAAGCTTGAGGAAGGCCCTTGAAGAATAGTGCTTGAGGCTCTGGTTGGGTAGGGCTTCCCCTAGGAGATCACACTAGAAGCCACTAGTGTAGGAAGGCTTGTGAGGAGAGCTCATGGCTTAGAGAAAAATCCCATTTCAAGATTGATTTCTTGGAGTGGGAAGTTGAGAATGAGCTTCTCAGCCCAGACCCCTTCCAATGACTCCCAGCAGCTGCTCAACCTCCTCCATGGCTCCAAGGAGGTGAGCTAGCTTATGTGGCAAAAGGGTTGGATTTCCAACCAATAAGAGGTTTACAACAATGTATTCAGATTAGCATATAGTGTACACCATAAGAATATTCGAGTTGAGTTGGCATTGCCAACCAACTCCCTTGTTCTGATTGGTCACAAATCCAACCATCGCGTGAGTTGGGAATTTCACCAACTCAATTTGTACAACTAAAATCTGATTGGTCCCAAGTATCGACCAATCCCAATCCTCCCCTCCCAACCCTTCCTTCCCATTTCGCGCTACCTAGCATAGGTAGCCAATTTGTGAAAGGTGGTTGAGACGCTCGTTTCTAGGCCCGTGTACAGTGCAGAGGCCATGCGTTACACTCCTCCCCCTCCAGGTGGCAACGTCCTCGTTGCCGTAGAGTGCTTCTGGGGACGGGTGCTTTGAGCATGCCGAATCACATTACGACCAGGGTCAACACCATCCACTGGTTGTGAGGCTGCTCTTTGAGTCAGGTCTTCCAGATATCCGTGAACTGCAGTTTCGGTCAAATGTTCCTCTGGCTCCCATGAGTTATGTTCAGGCCCATAGCCTTTCCACTTGATAGGGAACGCGCGTACTATCTTGCGGCCGTGCTGTCGATCACGGTGCATGAGCACACGCTCGACCTCATAAAAGAGTTCCTCTCCAAGGACGATCGTTGGCAGAGGTAAGTACGTGCCTTCAGCAATGTACTTATTAAGCAGAGACACGTGGAGGACATTGTGAATCTGCAATGTTTCGGGTAACTTCAACTTGTAAGCTACCACACCAATGCGCTGGATCACCTCGAACGGCCCAATCCATAGAGGGAACAGCTTTCGTGGCCCAGGGATTTTGAGACGAATGCTCTTCGTGCTCAATAATACCTTGTCTCCAACCTCAGAAGAGACTTCCCGGCGTTTCATGTCGGCATAAGACTTTTGTCGCTGCTGAGACAGCTGCAGCCAGTGGCGAGTAGACTTGAGCGCTTCTTGCTGCTTGCCCACAAAGTCTTTCGCGGCACAGACTCGCAGTCCGCTTATCCCATGCGTAGCAGGTGTCGTGGGATGCCGACCACAGTTCAGAATGAAGGGTTTTTTATGGGTACCTTCATGGACGGAATTGTTCACCGCGAACTCAACCACAGGTAGCAAGTCATCTGAATCATCCTGAGTTGGGCCAATGAAGGAACGAAGCATCTACTCAAGAGTACGATTCGTCCGCTCTGTCTGCCCATCCGTTTGGGGATGGAAGGCGGACGACATCTTTAGCTTCGTTCCGAGTGTCCGTGTAACTTCGTGCCAGAACCGGCTTGTAAAGCGCGGATCTCGATCGGACACCAGCACACGCGGTAACCCGTGTAAGCGGAACACGTGTGCTACAAAAAACTTGGCCGTATCTTCCGCAGATACGTCTGTTGTAGTAGCAACGAAGTGCACCATTTTGGTCAATCGATCCACAAAGACCTAGATCGCAGTGCGACCGTCGCGTGTTTTTGGGAGGTCTGTGATGAAATCCAGTGAGACACTCTCCCAAGGTTTGTCTGGAATCTCCAGTGGTTGAAGCAAACCACCAGGCTTTTTCGTGTCTGACTTGTTGCGTGCGCATGCATCACAACGCGATACGAATTGTTGGACCTCAGTCCCCAATCCAGGCCATCAGTACACATCACTTAAGGCCCACCGGGTTTTCTTGATACCCACGTGTCCCCCGTACTTGGTGCTATGCACTTCCTCAATTATATCATTCCGTAGGTTACCCACATGGGGTACCACAATCTCTTTCTCTCGCCACCAGAGCTCATGCTCGTACTTGAGGCCCTTCGTATTTTCTGGGTTCTGGAACCAGGAGTCAATATGGTATCCTGTGCGGATGCGTTTCAGAAAACCACTGAAGGTGACCTCACTCACTCGAGCCACGGCAAGAATACCAAAGCAAGCGGCAACCACTGCCTTATCCTCGGTTTCATCAAGCCCAGTCGCTGCCCCTATCGGCTGTCTGCTGAGGGGGTCGGCCATGTTCGTAGAACCTGCACGATATCGAATATCGAATGTGAACCCACTAAGGAGTTCTGCCCAGCGGGCTTGGCGCCGAGTGAGCGTGGCTTGAGTAGAGAAATAGGTGTTCGGACAGTGGTCTGTCGTGACCACAAACTCCACACCTTCCAGATAACATCGCCATGTTCGCAGCGCATGCACGACCGCCAGCAACTCTTGTTCTGACGTCGTATAGCGCTGCTCTGCCGGGGAGAGCTTCCTACTCTCAAATGCCACTGGGCGGCCCTCTTGCAAGAGTACCGCCCCAATCCCTATTGTCGAGGCGTCTGTGACCACCTCATAGGGTTTAGAAGGATCTGGCAATACCAAAACCGGAGCATTGGTCAGCTTTGTTTTGACTTTGTCAAATGCCTCTTGGCATTGTCAAGTCCACTCCCATGCACTACTCTTTCGGGTGAGTACTGTCAGAGGGGCAACGACAGTCGAGTAATTTTCCAAGAACTGGCAGAAATAATTGGCCAGGCCTAGGAAGGACCTGATCTGGCCCACGTCTTGTGGGACGGGCCAATTCTGAACAGCCACCACCTTCTTCGGGTCGACTTTAAGTCCGTTGTTCCCAACAAGATGACCGAGGTATTCCAGCTCGCGTTTGTAGAAATGGCATTTCCATAAATGAGCATCGAACTTGTGTTCTCGCAACTTCCCTAACACCCATTTTATGTGTTGAGTGTGCTCCTCTTCAGTCTTGGAATAAACCAAGATGTCGTCAAGGTAAACCAGAACGAAGTGCCCGATTGCTTCGCGAAACACATCGTTCATGGCCCTTTGAAAAGAGGCCGGAGCATTGGTCAAGCCAAAGCTCAGCACACGTCATTGAAAATGACCAAACGGCGAACGGAACGTCGTCTTGGGAACATCTTCCTCAGTGATGCGCAGTTGGTGGTACCCTTGTGCCAGATCCAACACGCTAAACCACTGAGCACCCTGGAGTCGATCGAACAAGTCTTCTATCCGTGGAAGAGGATATCTGTTCTAGATCGTGATCTTGTTTAAGGCGCGGTAGTCGACGCACATGCGTAAGCCACCACCCTTCTTGTTAACGAACAAGATTGGTGCTCCATATGGTGATGCGCTTGGCTCAATCCATCCCTTCCTGAGGTACTCCTCAATCTGTTGTTTAGCCTCCTCGTACTCAGCTGGACTTAGGTGATACAAAGGTCGAAACGGTGGGAGCTTTCCAGGCTCCACAGGGATGGTGTGGCCTACGGCGCGGTCAGGAGGGAGTCCGTCCGGAATAGACTCAAAAACCTCCTTAAACTCATCCGCCAGTACCTTCATCTGAGGTGGAAAATCCTCAATGTCGTGCGTTTGGGTTCCAGCTTCCTCGACCTGTACGATGAAAAGTGTATTAGCAATGCGGTAATGCTGTCCGAATTGACATGTAAGAGCAAAGCACACGTCTGGACTTTTCGTTATTTGAACCGCCGGGATGGTTGTGTCGACAGACACTTGCCACTGGATTGGTTCACCATTCTTGGTGAAAGAAACTGTGTTATCCTTGAAATCCATAATAACCTCATTTGCACGTAACCAATCCATTCCCAAGACTACGACGACACCCGCAAGCAAGGGGAGAACGTAAGTGCGAATCTTTTCGCTATAGCCTTGGATTTCCATGTCGATCATTGTCCGTTCTTTCCTTGGGATAAGATTATCGTCACCAAGATGAATGGGACATGACGGTCCTTCAACGAGGACCCCAAGCGGTGTGACCCATTTTTCATCAAAGAGGGAAACACTGGCGCCTGTATCGACAAGAATTTCCGCGCTATGTCCGTTAACGCGACCCGAAAGGAGTAGATTTTGTTGATGCATTGGGCGGATGGGGCATGCCACAATGTTCGACGAGGGTTTGTAGTACACCTTGACATTGTGGCGGGCTCGTCCAAAGGATTCAGATTTGGTCCACCACACATGGTGTCCCTTGTCCCAAGATGCCAACACAACCCATCCACGAAGCGATTTGAACGTTTCGCCCTTTACTGTACGAGTCACCACGGCGACCACGGTCAGAGGGTGCTCTTAAGTACAGCGACTCACCACATCGAGTACGGAAGGCAATGTGTCCAGGCCACAGTAAACGACTGAGAATCTATCTCGTAATGCTTCGATGGATATAGCATCAAGGTGCGAACATTGATTTTTTATTAAAAGAAAAGGCAAACAAACAAGAGATTTTGCATTCAGCAAGCTTCTCTAGCTTTAGTAAATCATCGTCACATAAAGCATATGCCTCATCCCCTCGATCTATCTGACCAACTAGGTACCCACACCCTAGTTGGACTTCTGAAAATCCTTCTTACTGCCAGAAGGTCCTTCGCCGCCATTGTTGTTGCCCTTAGGCTTACCACTATGCTTTATGATATTCCTATAGCGGCATTGAAATTCCATGTGACCACGGCGGCCACACCCTCGGCAGACGACATTAGAGAAGTCCCTTGGCGACCCTTTGTAATTGCCACCATTTGCCCTATTAGCCGGAGGACGCTGTTGGTTGCCATTCTGGTGGAAGGGCCTCTTGTACCCATGGCCCTTCCCCTTGGAATTCCACTGGCCACCACCACCATTGCCACCATCACCCCTCGCCTGAGTCCTCGACTCAGGCTGGTCGGTGGAAGGTATTGCTAGCATACGAGTAGTCTCGTCCGTTGCTTGAACCTCCTCTTTGAGCTCCTTGTAGGTGCTCCATTTGTTGAGGCCATTTGCAACATGCTTATCCTGCAGGGACTGGGGCAAGTTCTGGAAGAAGATATACATAACTTCATTCTCAGACAGCTGCTTGCCTATCAGTCGCAGAACGCCCTCAAACTCTTGTGCATATTTCTGCACTGAGCGATCGCCACACTTGATGTTTTCAAGGCGACGACGCACCTCCATGTCAGTTGTCTTGACAAGAAAAGCCGCTTTCATTGCAGCACAGAACTCGTCCCAAGTGAAAAACTTTCCACTTGCTTCGAGTTGTTTCCGGCTAGCAAACATGGTTTGGCTAGCATGCTCATCCAACGCACCAGAGACGGCGGTGACACAAGCGTTGGTGCGCACGTTGTGGAGAGTCAGCATTTCATCCACAGTTGTCACCCAGTTCTCAACATCCGTCTTGCCATGGATGAATTTTGGGAGCGCAGTGGGGAGTGAGCCAAAAGGCGTTGCCATAGGCTGGACAGGCTGCTGAGGTGTTGCAGTTGAAGGAGATGCAACAGGCGGCGGGTTGGATTGGGTGCCCGATGGGCCAGCAGTAGCGGGTGAGTGTTGGTAGATAGGACCCCGCCGAATATCCCTGTACTGGTTCTGCAGGTGGGCAATAGCAGGTTGCATCGGGGCGATTGTAGATTGCAGTTGGGCAGTTGTAGTCTGCAGTTGGGTAATAGCAGCTTGCAGCTGGTCGCACGTTTTCTCCAGGGCCTGGATTTGATTGCCCCTGTTATGTAGCAGACGCTTGTGATCCCGTACCTCTCCGTATGCCATATTGAGATCGGCTTGCAGCCTAGTCGTGTCGGTCTTTTGTGTCGCCAAAGCAATATTGAGGGAGTTGATGTGTCCCTTCTCCTGATTGATTATAAGCTGCTGCTCAGAGACTTGTGCCTGGAGTTTAGCCACATCATCGGAGAGCGACCATGCCTCGATGCCATCATCCTCCCCCTCTGCTCCATCAATCTCTTCTGCTTCTCCATGCTCTTCATTGCCCTCATTCTTCAAATTTACGTCCACCAATTCAATATCAGCCATAGCCTCATCTTGCTGTTGGTTATTACTGGCAGCAAGGTTGGCTCCCTCAGGAGTTACATTAGGCTCCTCCCTTTCCAAGTTCTCCAAAACTTGACTTGAAGTCATGGTAAAACAAGGAAGATATTTCAACAGATCTGAAATGTTCTTTACAATCTCTTAAGAAATATGTTCATGTCCCAATCACTGCAATGAGAGGGCAAGACAATCTCAATAAAGAGATCTCTTAACAAAATAACTTAATAAGAGAAATTGCAAGAAAAACAATCTGTTGCCCAATCCCTAGCACCTCAATGCTAGGGCAAGATCTAAACTAGATCTTGCAACAGATCACAGATCTGCGGAAGAAACGGTTCCATCGTCGCGCGCCCGAATCTGCCGCGGAAATCGTTCCGCCAGCAGATTCACGTCCGATGTAGTCGCCGTGAAAACTTTTAGGCCTGGCAGCATGGTACCTTTAGGTTCCAGATTGTCAGAGCCACTCAGGTAAGAGTTCCAGGAACCCTTATTCTGCCCGAACCTTTTGCCCCCTCTCCGCTCAATCCTCCCTCTCCATGCCTTCTTCCTCGTGCTTCCTCCCTCCGTCTCACATAGAAATACGCAGACCCAGCAGAGCCATCTTCAGTCCAGTTTGTTCCAATTACTTTCTAGCTATCCAGCGCACAGCTTCACTTCAGCTCCCGAGTCTTCTTACCACTCCAGCTGTAGTGTAGTGCTCTCAGGTTGTCTGATTTCCCGCTATTTTCTCCTCCCCCATCATCTAGCATCTGTTTCGCATGGCAGCAGTCGCTGTGAATCCTTCGTTCGCTGAAGTGCTCAACATGTGGAAGCTTAGAGAGCAGACGTTGGTCCGTGTGCCGCTGTTCTCGTCAACTCGCTGCTCGGTTGCTGAGGTACAATATTCGCACGACGATTCTGATCAGAGCAGCACGAGCAGCGACGTCTCTAGCACACCTAGCTTGGAGGTCAGCTCCATGGTCCCGCTCAGCACAACAAGCAGCAGTGACTTCAGTGAGATCATGTGCAGCAGTGACTTCAGTGACGTCAGCTGCAACGACGACGTCAGTGAGATCAGTGTCGTTGATGACGTTGGTGATGTCAGCTGCAACAGCAGCATAGAAACCAGAAGCAGCAGCAGCAGCAGCATCGATGACGCCAGCAGCTGTGACACTGTCACTGCTTCAGTCGTTCCCGGCAGCACCGAGAAGAGCAGCGTCGCCAGCAGCATTGTCTTCAGCTCTCCATTTGTGACTATGATGGTGACTCTGGCGACAAGTGCATACAGGTCACTTGCAGCCAGGAAGCCACCTACGAGAATGGGAGTAGCCAAAGCAAGGCTGCTGCCATCCCTCATTCCAAAACCTGGCAGCAGCAGGAGAGAGATGGTGGTGCCGGTTTTTAGAAGACAGGAAGCGGACTTGACGGTGTAGTCACTTACTTCGGAGACACAAGCAGCAAGAGAAAGCATTAGCAGGAGAGGAATGGCAGCGTGGGATGCAGAATGTGTTTTCTGTTGGACCCAAGGCTGCATGGAGCATGTGGTACCGCAGCCTCCTGCTGCTGTGCTCCTTGGGTAGTGTGGTCTAGTCAAGTGTTAGCTAGTGTGCTCACTTATAGTAAATGCTTGTATTATAGCTGATTATTATTTTTATCTGTTATATATGAGTGCACATCTGAAGAACGCCTTACAGGACATCACTGCTTTGCACCACAGTGCAGGAAAGGGTGCGGCCATGTCCTGGCTCCTATCATGACATGATGTTCAGGATAACGAACCAGAAGAAAGAATCGCGATAACGTCCCCTTCTCCCTGCTCTTTACCTGGCTTCACCAGCAGCCATTGATGGAGGTGGGGTGCTAGGTAGACACAGCAGCGCCGGCAGCGTGCGTCCGTTCCACTTGTGCGTCTGGGATGGAGCGCGGGAAGGCAAAGAGCCATGGGATGTCGCTGTAGCTCACCCGCACCACTATGGCGCCCCACTCTTTCAGCTCGCCCTCAAATGGCTGCTCCACATCGTCCTGGGGGTAGGGGAGGAATGCAAAGCAATTATTATTAAAAGGCAAGCAAAGCAATGATCAAACTGTCAACTTATATGTTAGTATGTAGAAGTTATAGGCTGGATAGGTATTTGTTCTTAGAGAGTACAACTCCAACCTATACCTTGCTTTTTCTCTCCTGTTTTCTATTCATTCTAGTATATTAACATGGTATCATGCAAAGGTTAGGTCCCCCCCACCCGCTTCCACCCCGCGTCCTAGCCTACCACGCCTCGCCGGCCCCTAGCGTGCCCGCCGTCCCCTCGCGCCGTAGACGGACCCTAGTGTGCCCGTCGGCCCCTCGCGCCCTAGCCGGCCCCTTGGCCCCTGGCTGGCCCCTTGCGCCCAGCCGGCCCTTCGCGACCAGCCGGCCTGCCCCTCGCGCCGTCGCCAGCCCCTCGCGCCTTCGCTGGCCCCTCGCGCCCGAGCTGGCCCCTCGCGTCGTCGCCCGCCCCTAACGCCCAGCCGGCCCCATTGCGACCAGCCGGCCCGCCCCTCGCGCCGTCGCCAGCCCCTCGCGCCTTCGCTGGCCCCTCGCGCCCGAGCTGGCCCCTCGCGTCGTCGCCCGCCCCTAGCGCCCAGCCCGCCCCTTCGCGACCAGCCGGCCCGCCCCTCGCGCCATCGCCAGCCCCTCGCGCCTTCGCTGGCCCCTCGCGTCATCGCCCGCCCCTAGCGCCCAGCCGGCCCCTTCGCGACCAACCGGCCCGCCCCTCGCGCCTAGCCAGCCCCTCGCGCCTTCGCTGACCCCTCACACCCGAGCTGGCCCCTCGCGTCGTCGCCCGCCCCTCGTACCTAGCCGGCCCCTCGCGCCCTAGCTGGCCCCTCACGCCGTCGCCTGCCCCTAGCGCCCAGCCGGCCCCCTTCGCGACCAGCCGGCCCGCCCCTCGCGCTTAGCCGGCCCGCCCCTCCCGCCTAGCCGGCCCCTCGTGCCCTAGCTGGCCCCTCGCGCCCTAGCTGGCCCCTCGCGCCCTAGCTGGCCCCTCGCGCCTAGTCGGCCCCTTGCACCCAGCTGGCCCCTATCACCGAGATGGCCCATACCACCTAGCTAGCCCCTACCACCTAGCCGGCCCCTACCGCCTCACCGGCCCCTACCACCTAGCCGGCCTCTCTCCTGCACACCTCAGGCCCCACGCGCCCTGCCGGCCTCTCTCCACATGCTGGCCCCTTGTGCGCCTCGACTCCTCTTGCCCCACCTCCTCGGCCTTCCTTTTGGTTCAGTTCCGGAGACTCCTGCCGTCGTGCCGCTGAGTCCCTGTGCTGCTGTACCCCTGTCTCCCTGTGCTGCTGTGCCGCTATGTCCCGGTGCCGCTGTGGTTGAGCGATGGCAGACGCCATGCCCCTGTCTGGACGCGGAGAGGCACGCGATCGACTTCGCCGCCTGGCTTGTCGATCTTCGCCAGCACCTGACAGGTCAGCGCCAGGATGGGCACTCCCTGGCTATGCATGTTGATGGCTTGCTTCTTCGCCCCTCTGCCCCTGATCCCCTCCCTGCTGACCCCACCCCTGCTGAGACTGAGGCATTTGCTGCTGCTGCACTCGCTCGCGCTCTCTGGGATTCTCGAGATGCTGTAGCGCAGCTTGCCATTAGTCATGCGCTTCCCTTGTCTGAGCGTCCGCGTTTCACTACTGTCGCGAACGCCAAGGATTTCCTAGATGCTGTAGTTGACCGCTACTCCACGCCTGCCTTCGCCTCAGCTGGACGCTTGATCCTCCCTATGCTCTTCCCTGATCTCTCTGCATTTCCCATTGTCGCTGATCTCGCCACTCACCTCCGTGCACTAGAGACTAGCTATCGCGCTGCTAGCACTGCTGGCCAGCTCACTGCCTTCCCCCCGCCTTTCTGTGCTACCCTATACCTTATTGTCATGCGCCTGCCTGACCGCTTAGCCACTGCCCGCGACCACTTCCTTTGCTAGCATACTGTGGACCTCACCCTGACCACTTTTGTCGCTACCCTTGCTGAGATAGGGACTCGCCAGCGCAGTATCGCTCAGTCGAGCGGTGTTGCGGCAGTCCCTATCTTTCAGGGCTGTGCTCCCTCCCAGTGCACGTACGTTGACGTTTCCGCTGAGGTCGCTACTGCTATTCCTGCCGCTGAGACAGCAGCGGTGGCCTTCCCGCAGCAGCAGCGACAAGGGAGGGCGTGGTGGTGGTCGAGGCGAGAGTGGTTCTGACGAGGGGGCTGGGCCAGGCGTCCAGGAGCAGCAGCAGTTGCAGCAGCAGCAGCAGCAGCAGCAGCCGTGGGCCCGCCTCCTGCCAGGGTGGCCAAGAGCCTCTGGAGGGAGTGGCCGAGGCGGCGGTCCTCGCAGCTCGGCGTCTACCGGCGGTTTCGGTGCTGTGGGCTGCCCGTACCAGCTCCAGACCGGTCCCCGTTGTGGCACACTGTGCCACCATCCACACCCAACCGCCCGCTGCTTCCACCACCTCGACGACCTCTTTCGTCGCCGCTTCAGCCCGGCCCCAGACCTCTCTGACTGGCCCAGTCTGCTGCGCCACAGTGTGCCTGTTTTTGTACAAGACATGGATCAGAATAGTTCTGCCTTGCATACTCTGTATGCTGACGCTTTTAGTGTGTCCGGATCTTATTACCCTATGTTCTCTAGCTTAGGCGTAGCACATGTATGTCCTACAAACTCCCCTTCTTTGTTAGGCGTAGGACCGTTTTCTTTGTCTAGCATAGGCTCCATACTCGCTCCTCCTTCGTCTGCCACTACTGCCTCGTTGTTCTTCACGCTTGCCGTGCCTACTGCTGTCGCTCTTGCTGACCCCTCCTCTGGTCCTGTTATTGCTCGCAGCTACACTACCCTCCCCTGTCCAGCGGTCCCCTCGGGCTCCCTTACAGGCCTCCACGTCCCCTCGTTCTCCTGAAACCTAGTTGGTCCGGTTGTCTTCAGGACCTCGGCGTCACCACTACGTTCCCGGGTCACTAGCGGTACGCCGTCTGAATCGAGGCTGCCTCAGGTTCCCCCCTTGTGACGTTCCCCTGGGACCCAATGTCTGGCCTCTTTACGCTCGACACTACTTCCCCCCTGGTGGACCGTCCCTCCTGGGTCCTGCGTCTACCCAAGTCGCCGTTGCGTGCTCATGTTGGTCGCTCACTTACCCGTCACTTCTGTGGCACCACCGCATAGGTCACCCCGCACTCCCGCGTCTGCGTCACATGTCCCAGCACAGTCTCGTCCTAGGTCTCCCGGCATCACTTCTTGCCCTCCCCCCCTCACCTCCGCCGCCATGCACGCCCTGCATCGAGGGCCGGCTGCGCCGTGCTCCTCACTCCTCGCTTCGTCCTGCCACCGCACCCCTTCAGACCCTGCACCTGGACGTCTGGGGCCCAGCCCCCGTCCCCAGTCCACGCCGCGAGCGCTACTTTCTAGTGCTCATAAACGACAACACGCGCTACATCACGGTGTTTCCCTTGGAGCGCAAGGCCGACCTGCCTGACGTTCTCATCCCGTGGGTCGTGGCTGCCCGCCTTCACCGCGGTCTCCCTGTGTTGAGTCTCCACTCCGATCATGGCGGCGAGTTCGCCTCTGGTCGGCTTGGACAGTTCTATCGTGCGGAGGGCATCACCCAGTTGTACTCCCTACCGGACTCCTGGCAGCAGAATGGGGTTGCTGAGCGACGCATCGGCTTGGTTATGGAGGTGGCTTGTACCTCCATGATTCATGCCGCTGCATTCCATTTTTTATGGCCGTTCGCCGTTCGCTATGCCGCTCACCAGCTTCACCTCTGGCCGCGCTTGTGAGAGTACGATCCCCCTTTCCATATTTCCTTTCTATTTCATTTCTCTTTTTATCTCATCTCAATTGGTTTCCTATTTTTCCTTTTTATTGTCATTTGGTTTATCCTATTATTATAATTATATCACCGACCAGGCTCGGGATGTACTGGCGCGCTATATCTAGCGTAATCCTGCCGTAATCCATTAAAGCAATAGCCTTGCATGGCTATACGCAGGGTGATTCTATTTCTAGAAGGGTCTATTTTGCGAAAAAATCTGACTCCGTGAAAAAGGACTCTGCCGAGACGGGGAAACTCCGAGAAGACCCAAGAAATTATTAGGAAAACTTATATGATTCTCGAGGGGCTAGAGCCTTGGAGAAAATTTGGGAGGGACTCCAGAAGAAGCATAAACTTGTGGAGATCATACCGGTATTGGAAAACATGGGGACAAAATCTCCCGACACCAGCCCACAACGACTACCCGTTCCCCAGGGAGTAGACAGTAACGAAAAGGTGTGTACGGAATATTGGGATGTACCCTATGACCCTATCAATGAAACTATCTTTGGGTACTCCGAGCAACGCCCGCCCCTCGTGCTCGAGGTCATCTGCAAAGGACGACGCCTCCAAGCACTCGTGGACGGCGGAGCATCACACACCGTCTGCGACAAGGCAGTAATCGACCGCCTTCGGGAAGACTACAAGACTTCAGTATTCTCTGCAATGATGGTGGACGGAAGCAAGTTACCAGTACACGGCGAAGCAGTGTTACACCTACAAATTGGACCACTGCGTTGGAGACCTGCATTCCCCATCACCAACATAAACGGGCTTGACCTGATCTTCGGGCGAGACTTCCTAAAAAGATTCAACCCCGAGATCAACTGGGTAAATCGTACCGCAAGCATCTACAACAATGGAAGGAGAGTCCAGCTACCCAATTGGGACGATACATGAGATATCCCAATGGAGACACTCGCACGATTCGAGAAGGACGTGAAGCTCACCGACACCAGGTTCTTGGCGATAGCAACAGACGTGGAAGAAGACGGAGAGAAAGCCTCGGAACCTCCAGGAAACATCAAGGAATTACTTAAAGAAGTTCCAAGACATTCTTCCTGACAACCTTCCGAACGAGCTACCGCCATACCGGACGCACCAACCAAGATTGTGGAAGAACCAGGTTCAAAGCCGACCTTCCGAGCACCATATCGGCTCAGCCCCACAGAGCTAGCCGACATGAAAAAACAGATCGAGTATCTCCTCGCCAAAGGACTCATTCGACCATCCACTTCGCCATACGGTGCCCCAGTGCTCTTCACACCGAAACCGGACAGAAGCCTGCGCATGTGCATTGATTACCGAGCTCTCAACAAGCAGACCATCAAGAACAAATGTGCGATACCACGAATCGATGACCTGCTTGACTAGCTTCGGGGAGCCACCGTAATTTCCAAACTAGATATGCGGTCCGGATACTGGCAGATACGAATGGCGGACCATTCCATCCACAAGACTGCCTTCCGAACTCGGTACGAGTCGTACGAGTACCTCGTAATGCCGTTCGGACTCACCAACGCACCTGCAACGTTCCAAGCCGAAATGAACCACATTCTACGCCCACTCTTGGACGAATGCGTGGTGGTGTACCTGGACGACATCCTCATCTACTCGAGCGACATGAAGCAGCACGTCGAACACATGCGACGCATCTTTGAAATTCTTCGACGAGAGCGATTCTACGTCAAATTGTCGAAGAGCGAATTCCCCCTCGAGAAAGTCCGATTCCTATGACACATGGTGAGCGCTCAAGGAGTTCACGTCGACCCCAAGAAGATCGGAGCCGTACGCGCATGGAAGACACCCAAGAATGTGAAGGAGTTACAGCAGTTCCTAGGCTTCACTAACTATTATAACATGTCCGTGCCACAGTACGCGAAAATTGCAGCACCACTCACGAATCTGCTGAAGAAGAACACGCCTTATAAGTGGGAACTGAAGCACCATGAAAATGGAGCAGCTGAAAGAAGCACTCACGTCCGCGCCCGTACTCATCTCGCCAAACCCCGAACGCGACTACGTCATCGAAGCTGACGCTAGTGACCAGGCAGTGGGAGCAGTCTTGATGCAAGACTAGGGGAATGGACTGCAACCAATTGCCTACCTCAGCAAGAAACTACATGGGGCATAACTCAACTATCCGATACACGACAAAGAGGCCCTTGCCATCATCATCGCCTTCAAAACGTGGAGATGTTTTCTCGAATGACGAAAAACAACCGTCTACACCGACCACTACAGCCTGAAATATTTGAAGACACAACCAAACCTCTCCAGGCGGCAGGTCCGATGGATTGACTTCCTCGAGACACACTTCCACTATGACATCGTGTACAAGCCCGGCCACAAACACAAAGCAGACGCCCTTAGCCGGCCTACACACGTCGCCGCCATCCAGATCGAAGGGACAAATCCATTACTCAAGGGACTCTTCACACACGGATACACAATCGACCCCGAAATTCCCTTGGCAGAAAGCGACATCTGCTACAGTGGGATAGTGACATCGCATAGCGGAAGGGATCAACAAGAATCTGGGTACCCAATTACCCTCCTTTGCGCCAGTTACTACTCGAAGAATACCACGATGTCCTATACGTAGGACACTTCGGTAGCAACAAAACGCTCGCTGGTATCGCGAAGCAGTACTAGTGGCCCCACTTGGCAGACGATGTCCATAAATTCGTCATCTCGTGTGATACATGTTAGCCGATGAAGAGCAGCAAGCAGAAGAAGGCGGGACTACTATAGCCTCTTCCTGTCCCAGAACAACCATGGCAAGTGGTTAGCCTGGACTTCATCACCGGGTTACCAACTCCCACAAGCGGACATGACGCAATCCTCGTCGTCATCGACAAATTTTCCAAATTTCCAATCTCGACACACACGACAGCACGCACCGAGGAGACAACACAACTCTTCGTTCACTATATCATCTCACAACTGGCATCCCAACCATATTTATCTCCGACCGAGACCCCAAGTTCACCAGCAAGTTCTGGAAGGAACTAATGTCTCTGCTCGGGACCAAACTCGCCATGTCATCCGCCTACCACCCGCAGACAGACGGACAGACTGAGCGCCTCAACCAGATTGTCGAGCAACTTCTCCGTGAAGCCTGCAAGGACGAGATCTCAAAAGGGGACTTGCACCTGCCCGTTCTAGAGTTTGCTTACAACAATGCTACACATGCCGCTACTGGATAGGCGCCGTTCTTCCTCTGACACGGACGCCACCCGCTCACACCACAAAAACCGACAACATCAGCTAAAGTCCAACCTGCACACGACTTCATCACGACCATGCATCAGCTTTGGGATCGGACCCACAAGCGCCTCCTCGAGATTCAGCAACAACAGAAGCGCCAAGCCGATCGCCCTCGCAATGGCCACACCATCACCGTGGGAGACCAGGTGCTCCTCAACACCCACAACCTTGACATTAGCCATCTCCCATCTAAACTTCGACCTCGCTTCTGCGGGCCTTTCCTCGTTGAACCACAGGTCACTCCTGTTACCTTGTGCTTACGCCTGCCAGCTACCTGGAAGATTCACAACGCCTTCCATGTCCAACTTCTGAAGCCCTATCGGGATCCTAACACGGTCTTCGTCAGACGCCAACCGCCGCCGCCGCCTGTCCTCGTCCACGATGAACCCGAGTACGAGGTCGAGTCTGTGCTTGCACACCGCCGTCGTCGGAATGACACCGTCGAGCTTCTCATTCATTGGAAGGGTTATGATCCTTCAGAGCATAGCTGGGTCCCTGAAACCGACATGGGTAACGCCTGTCGTCATCTTCACGACTACCTTGTTAAGCAGGGTGTTACTTCTACCACCCAGCTTTGAGGGGAGGAAGTGTGAGAGTACGATCCCGTTACACCAATTTCCCATTTCCATATTTCCTTTCTATTTCATTTCTCTTTTTATATCAAATCAATTGGTTTCCTATTCTTCCATTTTCATTATCCTTTGGTTTATCCTATTATTATAATTACAGTATATCACGGACCAGGCTCGGGATGTACTGGCGCGCTATATGTAGGGTAATCCTACCGTAATCCCTTAAAGCCAACAGCCTCGTGTGGCTATACGCAGGGTGATTCTATTTCTAGAAGGGTCTATTCCCTTCGGATGGGATAAACCTGGTTACCTGATGAACTCTGGAAAAATAAAAGCGCCTTGTATCAATCGATAGTGCAACTTTTCCTCGACACATGCGATCCTGTGATAGCCCTCCCAGCGGCCGCAAGTTTCGCCAACCCTCCTTTGGACCGGGTTCCCTGGTGACACGTCCGCGTTCCAAGTCTGGGGCTGTCTCGCTCATGTTCATGCTTCTCGCACGGACAAGCTTACTGTGTCCCCTGCGTTTTCCTCGGTTTCCCCCTGGACTCCTCTGACTGGCACTTTTACCACCTGCCATCTCATCGCTTCTTTCACTCCCGTAACGTCGCTTTCAACGAGTCTGTCTCCTTTTACCACCGTTTTCCCCACCAAGGTCTCCCGGCTTCCCCCCCCCCTGTTTCTGGTCCCCACTCCCTCAGTAGCCCTTGCTTGCCTTCCTCCCCGTCCTGCTCCGTCTGGTGTGTCTCACGTCACTCCCCTCCCGTCGCTTGTCCCGGTCGAGGAGTCGGCTGACTCCGATGGCCTTGCGGCGCAAATCTTGCCCCCCTCTCTCCCCCGATGTCTCCTCCTCCGCCGTCGTAGCCACCGCCGCCGCAGCAGCCGCCCCCACCGACGCCGCCTCCGGCGCCGCCGTCATAGCAGCAGCCGCCGTTCGTGGCAGCACCCGGCGTTCGTTGCCTTTGCGGGTGCTGGCGTTGAGGAGGTTGCTCGTCCTGAGGTTTCTGTCGTGGCTTGTCCCGGCGGGCTCGAGGGTGGCACCGGTGCTGGAGAGGGTTCTTGCTCTGGGGGTGCTTGTTCTCAGGGTGCTCGGCAGGAGTGTTCCACAGGTAGCCGCGGTGTAGCTGGCAGTCCAGGTGTCGGCGTCGAGTAGCAGCAGCAGCAGCAGCAGCAGCAATCGTCGGTGTTCGCCCTTTGCCTACTCGGCCTTCCCTCCCCTGACCGCTCGTCTGCGCCTCCCCCGCCGCCTCCTCCCCTTCCTGTCCACGGTCCTGTCTTTCCTTAGCCAGACTCATCCTCGGCTCGTTTCCCACCTCGTTCCCCTCCTATTACTCCTCCTCTGTCTCCTGACCCGACGCCTCCATCTCACGTCTGGTCTCGCCGTGCTTCTCGTGCTCGTCCTGTCTCCCCTGTTCCACGTTCTCACCCCATGTTGCTTCGTTCCCATGCGTCTCGTCCTCCCTTCTTGCCTTCGCCTCCTTCGTCGTCGCTCGCTGTCGCGCCTCCCCCTCTGCCTGACTATCTTTGTGCTGCACGTCCTCTTGTTCCTCGGGACCTAGCCTCCCTTGTTACCGACCCGTCTGTTCCTCTCTCGCGTCTTGAGGCTCTTGTCGCTGGTGTCGCTGACTTCGCCTCTACCCGCAGCCTTGACTACGCCACCGCTCTGGTCTCTGACCATGTCCGTCCTCCGTCCGTCGGGGGTGCTCCTGCCCATGGCAGTGACGTCCTAGAGGACAAGCAGTACGAGCTTGCTTTCCTGTCCGAGGTTGCTCTCCATCTCTACTCCATGCTGCTAGTCCCTGAGGGTGACCCAGACGCCTTTGACATCGCGACCCCTCGCACTAACGCTGAGGCCACCTCGGGACCCTGGGCCTCTTAGTGGATAGCTGCCATGGAGCAGGACATGGCATCTTCGAGATCCACCGGCACCTACGTCGACGCAATTCCTCAACCAGGGGTGAACGTGGTCGATGGCCGGTGGCTCTTCAAGGTGAAGCGCCCCCCTGGAGAGCCGCCTATACTCAAGGCGCGCTACGTGGCTAGGGGCTTCAGTCAGCGAAAGGGGGTGGGCTTCTTTCAGACCTTCGCCCCGACCACGAAGATGACTACTCTTCAGGTGCTGCTACATGTAGCAGCACAGCGTGACTACGAGCTCCACTCCCTCGACTTCTCTACTGCCTTTCTTCAGGGCAGCCTACACGAGCAGGTTTACCTGCGCCGACCGCAAGGCTTCACTTGTGCCTTCCCTCCTGGGACCCCGTGGCTCCTCTGACGCCCGGTCTACGGCCTGCGACAGGCGCCTCGTTAGTGGCACGACACGTTGCGTGGTACACTAGCACACGTGCAGTTCTTTCCGTCCTCTGCAGACCCTTCACTCTTCGTTCGTGCTGGCCAAACTCCGTTCTACATCCTTGTCTACGTAGACGACCTGGTCTTCGCTACTGCAGACAGAGACGCACTGGCCTCTGTGAAGGCCGAGCTGCTGAGGAGACACACCTGCACTGACCTAAGAGAGCTGCGCCACTACCTTGGCCTGCAGATCTCCAGGGGCAAAGCAGTGTGCACCATCACTCTCACACAGTCACACTTGGTGCGCTAGGTCCTTCAGAGGTTCGGTCTTCAGTTCCCCTCCACACAGCCCACACCTTTGCCAATAGATCACAGGCTCTCAGCTCTTGTTCCTGAGGAGTCAGTAGAGCCCAGTGGTCCTTACGCAGAGCTGGTGGGTTGCCTCATGTGCCTGATGACTTGCACTCATCCAGATCTCGCATACCCTCTCAGCATCTTGGCTCGCTTTGTGGCCACATGCAGACACCGACCACAGCACTGGTTGGCCGCTAAGAGGGTTTTGCGTTATCTAGCAAGTACATCGGGCATGGGGTTAGTGCTGGGAGGACGCAGGCCAGTGGTCCTTACTGGGCACAGTGACGCTTCTTGGGCAGACGATCCTGAGACTCTACGGTCCTCCCAGGGCTACTTCTTTAGCCTTGGTTCAGGGGCCATCTCGTGGAGGTCCAATCGCTCCTCGTCTATTGCTCAGTCCAGCTGTGAGGCTGAGATCTACGCCGGTGCCATGGCGGCACAGGAGCTCCGCTGGCTGACCTTCTTGCTCACCAACTTAGGTGAGCGGCCTAGCTGTGCCCTGGTCCTGTACGCTGACAACAGGGCTATGATCCTCTTGTATCAGGAGTCTCGACTTGAGGGCAGAGCGAAGCACATCCAGCTGCGGTACTTCCTCCTGCGCAAGCTACAGCAGCGTCGCTAGGCCCGCGTAGTACACTTGGCCTCGGGTGCCAACATAACTAATATCTTTACTAAGGCGCTTGCGCCTAGAGATCATCAGCGGCACTGTCTGCAGCTTGGTCTAGTTCCCGCTGAGTCTCATTTGCTGGGACCTTGATTGTGTACTCCTCTATATTTATACCTTCCAGACTAGCCTTGTGGCTTCTCTTCCAGTGGTCGGACTAGTAGTGCTGCCCTGGTTTGTTCTTGCCTTGTTTGTACTCTTGCTGACTGGTCTTCGGACCCCTGCCTCAGAGGTTGGACTAGTAGTGCCACCCTGAGCTGCTTGTTTCTCGCTCAGCACTACCCCATCTAGCCTAGGGGGTGTGTCAACTTATACATATATTAGTACGTAGAAGTTTTAGGCTAGATAGGTGTCTGTTCTTAAAGAGTACAACTCCAACCTATACCTTGCTTGTTCTCCTGTTTTCTATTCATTCTAGTATCTTAACACGAACACCTGCTCCACATCGTCCTGGGGACCAGGGGGCATGAGGAAGGAATGCAAGGCCTGATAAAAAGCAGCACAGCAACGATCGAGAAAAGCAGGAAAGCAGTTCTCTAACCCCTGCTCCACATCGTCATGGGGGCGGGGAAGGGGAAGCAAACAGACAGAATAGGATGGTGGGAAGGGAGTAGAAGGAGAACGCGACAAACATGCAAGCTTAAATAAACTGCTCACGGACTCTGATTCTGCTGAGTATCACACAGAGTTTCACATATTGTGTTTCACAGTTGTTGTAGCACAGCCTGGTGGGACGCCCGATGAGGCAAGCTGGCGACTCGCACCAGCGGCCGGAGTGCGCTGGCGGACAGCTGGGAGGGAGGAATGGGATGGCATGGGTGGGTGGCAGTGACATGAGGGAGGAGGGACACCAGTGAGACGGACGACGAGGAGCGCTGGCAACTCGCAACAAGTGGAATGAGTCTATTTTCGAGTCGACTCCAAAAGAGACTCATTACAGAAGCGACACCAGTGCGGCGGACGATGAGGCGCTGGCAACTTACACCAGCTGCCGGAAAATGCTTGCTGGTGGGGAGGTTGGGGGGGAAAGAGGCGGGGTGGGAGGGGGGGATGCCCGAATGGCGGACACAAGGGTGGGAAGAGAGAGCAGTGAGGTGGGCTAGCGTCTCGCATCAGCGACAAGACCACGCTGCCAGATAGCTGGAGGGGGGGGGCATGGGGGCGTGTGGGATGGGATGGAATGACATGGCACGGGATGGGCGCAATGACATGAGTAGGACGAGATATGACATTGGTGGGCGCATGGGGTGGGAGCATGGGGTGGGCGCATGGGGTGGGGGCATGAGGTGGGAGCATGGGGTGGGAGCATGGGGTGGAATCATGGGATGGGAGCATGGGATGGGAGCATGGGGTGGGAGCATGGGGTGAGAGCATGGGGTGGGAGCATGGGGTGGGAGCATGGGGTGGGAGCATGGGATGGGAGCATGGGATGAGAGCATGGGATGGGAGCATCGGATGGGAGCATGGGATGGGAGCATGGGATGGGAGCATGGGATGGGAGCATGGGATGGGAGCATGGGATGGGAGCATGGGATGGGAGCATGGGATGGGAGCATGGGATGGGAGCATGGGATGGGAGCATGGGATGGGAGCATGGGATGGGAGCATGGGGTGGAAGCATGGGGTGGGAGCATGGGGTGGGAGCATGGGGTGGGAGCATGGGGTGGGAGCATGGGATGGGAGCATGGGATGGGAGCATGGGATGGGAGCATGGGATGGGAGCATGGGATGGGAGCATGGGATGGGAGCATGGGATGGGAGCATGGGATGGGAGCATGGGATGGGAGTATGGGGTGGAAGCATGGGGTGGGAGCATGGGGTGGGAGCATGGGGTGGGAGCATGGGGTGGGAGCATGGGATGGGAGCATGGGATGGGAGCATGGGATGGGAGCATGGGATGGGAGCATGGGATGGGAGCATGGGATGGGGGCATGGGATGGGGGCATGGGATGGGAGCATGGGATGGGAGCATGGGATGGGAGCATGGGATGGGAGCATGGGATGGGAGCATGGGATGGGAGCATGGGATGGGAGCATGGGATGGGAGCATGGGATGGGAGCATGGGGTGGAAGCATGGGGTGGGAGCATGGGGTGGGAGCATGGGATGGGAGCATGGGATGGGAGCATGGGATGGGAGCATCGGATGGGAGCATGGGATGGGGGCATGGGATGGGAGCATGGGATGGGAGCATGGGATGGGAGCATGGGATGGGAGCATGGGATGGGAGCATGGGATGGGAGCATGGGATGGGAGCATGGGATGGGAGCATGGGATGGGAGCATGGGGTGGAAGCATGGGGTGGGAGCATGGGGTGGGAGCATGGGGTGGGAGCATGGGATGGGAGCATGGGATGGGAGCATGGGATGGGAGCATGGGATGGGGGCATGGGATGGGGGCATGGGATGGGAGCATGGGATGGGGGCATGGGATGGGGGCATGGGATGGGAGCATGGGATGGGAGCATGGGATGGGAGCATGGGATGGGAGCATGGGATGGGAGCATGGGATGGGAGCATGGGATGGGAGCATGGGATGGGAGCATGGGATGGGAGCATGGGGTGGAAGCATGGGGTGGGAGCATGGGGTGGGAGCATGGGGTGGGAGCATGGGGTGGGAGCATGGGATGGGAGCATGGGATGGGAGCATGGGATGGGAGCATGGGATGGGAGCATGGGATGGGAGCATGGGATGGGGGCATGGGATGGGGGCATGGGATGGGAGCATGGGATGGGAGCATGGGATGGGAGCATGGGATGGGAGCATGGGATGGGAGCATGGGATGGGAGCATGGGATGGGAGCATGGGATGGGAGCATGGGATGGGAGCATGGGGTGGAAGCATGGGGTGGGAGCATGGGGTGGGAGCATGGGGTGGGAGCATGGGGTGGGAGCATGGGATGGGAGCATGGGATGGGAGCATGGGATGGGAGCATGGGATGGGAGCATGGGATGGGAGCATGGGATGGGAGCATGGGATGGGGGCATGGGATGGGGGCATGGGATGGGAGCATGGGATGGGAGCATGGGATGGGAGCATGGGATGGGAGCATGGGATGGGAGCATGGGATGGGAGCATGGGATGGGAGCATGGGATGGGAGCATGGGATGGGAGCATGGGATGGGAGCATGGGGTGGAAGCATGGGGTGGGAGCATGGGGTGGGAGCATGGGATGGGAGCATGGGATGGGAGCATGGGATGGGAGCATCGGATGGGAGCATGGGGTGGAAGCATGGGGTGGGAGCATGGGGTGGGAGCATGGGGTGGGAGCATGGGATGGGAGCATGGGATGGGAGCATGGGATGGGAGCATGGGATGGGAGCATGGGATGGGAGCATGGGATGGGGGCATGGGATGGGAGCATGGGATGGGAGCATGGGATGGGAGCATGGGATGGGAGCATGGGATGGGAGCATGGGATGGGAGCATGGGGTGGAAGCATGGGGTGGGAGCATGGGGTGGGAGCATGGGATGGGAGCATGGGATGGGAGCATGGGATGGGAGCATCGGATGGGAGCATGGGGTGGAAGCATGGGGTGGGAGCATGGGGTGGGAGCATGGGGTGGGAGCATGGGATGGGAGCATGGGATGGGAGCATGGGATGGGAGCATGGGATGGGAGCATGGGATGGGAGCATGGGATGGGGGCATGGGATGGGGGCATGGGATGGGAGCATGGGATGGGAGCATGGGATGGGAGCATGGGATGGGAGCATGGGATGGGAGCATGGGATGGGAGCATGGGATGGGAGCATGGGATGGGAGCATGGGATGGGAGCATGGGGTGGAAGCATGGGGTGGGAGCATGGGGTGGGAGCATGGGATGGGAGCATGGGATGGGAGCATGGGATGGGAGCATCGGATGGGAGCATGGGATGGGGGCATGGGATGGGAGCATGGGATGGGAGCATGGGGTGGGATGGCATCAAGTGAGGCGGTGAGTGGTGATCGGAGGGGCGGATAGGGTGATTCGGGTTGAGAGGGGTTAAGAGGGGTTGTGGTAGACGGTGGATCGGGGAGAGGGAAAGAAAGGGGGGTTGAAGAGAGCAAGAGGAGGAAAGAGGCAGGGAGAGATTGAGAGGACGGATGGAGCAGAGGCAAGAGGGGCACCTGCAAGTGTTGCCCACATGGCACGTGCCGCAGCCGCTGCAGTTTCTGTCTGCTGCACTGCCAGGGGGGAAGCAGCCGCTACCTCGCCCTCTCACCCTCCTCCCACTCCCCATCACCGATCTCCACCACTCTGAATGCCTCGCTCTGCTTCCTCTGCCCCTGCAACACCTCCTTTGCTCCACTTTTTTCCATTCCCTCCTCTTCTCTCTGCACCCTCCTCCCTTCCTCCCCTCCCCCCACACCCCCCCGACCAGCAACAGCAAACACCTAATCCAGATACACCCCCTCCAACTCAGCACTCACATTCACCGCCCTACCCTCTCCGCCCCTTTTCCCCTCACCACCCGCCTCCCCCTGCTCTCCCCCTTCTGGCCTCTCCTCAGACAGACGGGCGCTGTGGGCAGGCCGAGGGCGAGGCACTGGCGCGCACAGGGGCAGGTGAGGGCGCAGGAGGAGCAGGAGAGGGTAGGCAGGGGCGGGGAGGGCTGTAGCAGGTGGGGAGGTGGGGGCGGGAGGGAGAGCAGGGCGGTCACAGTGTGAGCCGTACCTGGGGGCAAGGGAGGCCTGGGGGCGATGGAAGGGAGGCGATGGATGGGAAGCGATGGATGGGAGGGTGGAGCAGGAGGGATAAGTGTTGATGGCATTGGTGAAAAAATGCGTCAGTGCACCAGCAGGCATGAGAATATGCTCAGTTTGTGCACATCTAGCAATGCAACCATCCAACCATGCATGTCATGCATCTCATCTCACCATGCATTGGGGCACCAAAATTGCTTCACGTCCAGGTTGCATGTCCCCGCACATCCGCCCTCGCACCCTCCCTCTCCACTCCCCCCTCCTGCTGTCTCTGCACGTTCCGCACTCCTTAAGTCTGCACCACCTACCACCGTTCTTAAAGTCCCAGCACTCCTGATTTCTTCCCTCCTCCCACTCCTCCTCCCACTCCTCCTCCCACTCCTCCTCCCACTCCTCCTCCCACTCCTCCTCCCACTCCTCCTCCCACTCCTCCTCCCACTCCTCCTCCCACTACTCCTCCCACTCCTCCTCGCACTCCTCCTCCCACTCCTCCTCCCACTCCTCCTCCCACTCCTCCTCCCACTCCTCCTCCCACTCCTCCTCCCATTCCTCCTCCCACTCCTCCCCCCACTCCTATCATTCCTTCTCCCTCTCCATCCTTCCAATCCTCTCCCTTCCCCCATACTGCCCCTTCCGCTTCCCCCAATCCCCTCACCTCCGTTCCCCCATTGACCCGCCTCCCCGCCCCTTCCGTGTTCCCCCGTGCACTATCTCCCCCCATCTTCCCAGCTCCCCCATCCTCCCCGAATCCCCCCCACACGCCTCTCCCCCCCCCCCCCCCAAAATATTTCTGCACGAATTCCTCCGTCTCCCCAAGTGCGCCCTCCGCAGCCCGCGGCTGCGCGGCGGGAGAGCAGAAGGCGGAGCCCGAGAGTAGCGTGGAGAGCGCAAGCAGCGCGAGACACCAGCCCGCGAGGGCGAGTAGAGCGAGCAGGCGGGCGGAGGAGAGGCGGAAGGATGAGGATAGGCGGAAGACGGAGGATGTGGCGGAAGGCGCAATAAAATTAGGAGACGGCATGGCGGTGTGAACGGGGGCGCAAGAAGCGGAGGAGGCGGAAGGCGAGGAGGAAGCGGAGGGTTGGGCAGAGAACGGGTGGTGGCTGTCCTGCAGTAGAGCACTAGACGGCCGTCCAGTAGCCATCTATGGGGAAAAATCTACGCTACATTACTGCGTGTGATCGCCGCAGCATACGATTCTGCCACGGTAGTGCGTTTTAGGGGGGCCAACTCACTAAACGGACTTCGACATTTCTGTGTGTAATTCCTACACTGAGGTCGTTGTTATGAATTATAACTCAGAGTATAGCGTAGAATGTTGAGATAAGAGAATGCTAGGAGGTAGGCAGGAAGGAGGCCGCCATGAAGGTGGCGGCGGGGTTTAGCTAGGAGAGTAGGAAAAGTGTCGAGAGAGGAGGTTGGACTAGGAAGAGAGAGGCATACAAGGAGGGGATTGTACCCTCTACAGTAAGGTTCAGTAACAACTACCAAGCCTATCAATTATATAACAAAATATAATTTAGCACACCCCCTAGGTTTGGTAGTGTCAAGCCCACACACACCCCACACCCCCTAACCGAGCACCCCATTCCCAGCAAGAGCCGCAACGACTCCGGAAGTGGGCAGCTCCCACGGCCCGTGGGACGGCAATGGCGGCAGCGGCGACGGTGACGACAGCGGGGGGGGCGGCGGCGGCGTGCGGCAGCAACAGGCCAGCGGCAGCAGCGGCGGCGGCGGCGGCTAGAACGTAAGAGGCTACTGCAGCGGGCCCCACCCTCTCGGCGGCATGGCCAGTCTCCTCGGCGGTGGGGAGGGCCCTCATGAGGCAGTCGTTGGCTGTGGCAAGGACAAGGGGACGCAGGGGAAGGAGGGGGGTGGGGGGCGTAGGCCAGAATCACGCCCGTGACTGGCGTGCGGGCGGCAGGTCTGGCTGCGCCTCAGATAGTGCGCGGCCGGCTGCCGCCCGACAACGCCGCCACAGCGCGACGTTGATGCCGTGGCGGTGAGGCGGAGGTGCGACGGCAGCACTACTAAGCCACCGCGGCATCTCGAAAGGGCCGCCACGGCGGCACAGAAAGGCAAGGCCGCCACGGCGGCAGGAAAGCGAAAGGCTGCCCTCGGCGGCAAGAAAAGTAGACGGGCAGAAAACAGGTACGCGGCGGAAGCGTGAGGAGCAGGCCCGTTAGGAGCGAACCGCTCTGAAACCATGTTAAGATAAGAGAATGCTAGGAGGTAGGCAGGAAGGAGGACGCCATGAAGGTGGCGGCGGGGTTTAGCTAGGAGAGTAGGAAAAGTGTCGAGAGAGCATAAGGTTGGACTAGGAAGAGAGAGGCATACAAGGAGGGGATTGTACCCTCTACAGTAAGGTTCGGTAACAACTACCAAGCCTATCAATTATATAACAAAATATAATTTAACATAGAATACTATAGGGGAACGTGATTACAAAATGTGTCCAAATTAATAAGGCCTAGGGCTTATATAGTGCGAATTGACCAGGGTTGAATGTCAAGGGTTGGACCAGTCAAGGGCTCGATAGTCCCGAGGGTGACGGGGTCAAATTGGGTTCGGGGCAACTCGGGTTGAGGTTGGGGCCATCGAGGTCAGCGGGGACTGGTTTGGCGCGAGAACCAAGGGCCGAGCATGCGGAACCTAGAGGTTCGCGTGTACTCGCTGTGGCGAGCCCCAGTAAGGAATCGTAATTCCTTACACTCTCCCACCTTCTAAAGGGAAGGCACTCCCTTTATCGAGGTCGAACCTTATATCTAAGTTAATCACCAAAATGACTGTAAGTCTTCAGCCCTGTGACGAGCGTAATGATTACGCCGGCCTAACGAGATCTTGAGGTCGAACTGCGATCGATGGTCAGAAGGCGTCGAAACGATCGCTTTTGATCTCAGTCGTCCAAGATGGTCGAATTCTTTTACTGACCAAACGGGCAAGGGTAAATACTCACAAGTGACGAAATGATGACGATGACCAATGATGTTGAATCGTTAACGATCGCGTGGGCGGGTTATAATGGAGCGTTGCAGGGTGATAATGATGACTGCCGAATGTCGTGGTAGTCGGATGATGAAGAGCCGTTTATCAACACGCAAGGTCATCCGTGACACGTACAAGAACACCCGTCGATGTCCCGGCGATGATTTGTAACTGCCGCTGAAGTCAATCGAAGATGAAAAATGAAACACGCCGAAAGGGTCAGACGAAATCTGCAGCGCAGCTGCTCTTCTTCCCCCTCCAAGAAGAAACAACTCCCAAAAGCACGGGTAAGGCTCCAAGAAACCAAACGCTCCACGGTACACGAGATACCGATCGGCCGCTTAAAAATCCCATAATTCAGCTTCCAAGATGCCGCTGCTAAATTCCAACCGCGAGAAATATGCTTCGAAGACGCGACGGAAAATACACCAACATGTAGATCTCCCAAACTACTTCAGAGTGGAAAACTCCTCCAAGGTAAACCGCTACAAGGGTCTTGAAACTCAGAAGAAACCGCTTCGGAAGACACCCAGGCGAACTCAAAAAATCTTCAGAAGTAAAACACTGCTTGCGAGCTGGCCCCAACACAGCTCCAACAGTACTGCTGCCAAAATTTCTATAAATCCGATACGGCTGTTGTCAATTCGGTTGGCGAGTCGGAGCGTGTTCACACAGTCAAGTGAATCACGCGAATTCACGATGGAGGCGGTAGCGGGTGATGGCGAGAGGCAGACGACGATGACGATGGAGAGTAACCTATACTGAACCACTCTAGTGAATATCCTTCCGGGGTCGAATGACGCCAACTGCATCAGCTTCTTTGTCTGTACACGCCAAAAATTTCGGAAAGAACTGAAACAGCGACTACTCTCCTACCCCTCCATGCGACCAAAACATTCCGAAAATCTCGGCCGATGTTGCTCGTACCACTGAAGATAGCAGGCACAAATCAAGTTGTAAACTCTTGAACTGCTCCTCAAGCCCACCGAAAATGTCGGAACAACTCGGTACTTATCTAAGACTGTAACTCCTCTTCACGGCTACCCGTAAAAATGTCCAGGCGTCACGGCATCCTTTAGCAGCGCCCCCACAGTTTCTCCACCAGCTGTACGCATGAACTAAACTCTTTATCTTAGGGTTTACCGGAGTCCACCGCCTCGGCATGATGTTTTGGCCGTCGATCATGGTCAATGCGCATCATACGTCGTCGATCTCCACCCAGCTGTTACCCAACTTTAAAATAATCTGGTACCCCTGCCAGCTGGCCGTGCAGACATTCACCCATCTCGTGGCTGCAGCAGGTTACCCAAGACCGCTTTGCTGCTGCTTAACTAATTAGGAGAATCCGCAGACATAGGAGTGCGCACGCTTCTAGCCAGAGGGGCTTTAACGAGCTCGCCTACTGACCCCTAGACACCTCCCTCCTCCATCGGAAACTCATCGAACTACACCCGCAAAAGTCGGAACCTCCTTTTGCTGCACCAGGTGAAAATCTCAGCTCCACTGCAACAGTTACTCCTAAAATTTCGGGGACACTACATCAGCACAGTGTAGTTTGCAGATTCACCCCCCTTATTCAGCCAAAAGCCATCGATTAATAAGTCGACACTGCTACCTAGTGGGAATGGTGATTTTCGGGCAACGTAGCTGAGCGAGTAGCAGCCCGAACGCCACTAACCCATCTGCTCCAGTACTCCCGTCGTTCTTCTCCCACTGCTTCAGCTCTCGATAGTTAATGCATTCGACAACCGGTGGAAAAACACTTAATACACACCCAGGGGTGGTGGCCTCCATTTCCGTTGATTGTAGGGGTATGAACCGCTGGTCCACGAAAATTGCCTCCCCATGCAGGAGGTCTCCCTCGCTGAGTACACTCACTCAAGCACAGCGTCATCACCTCCATATGGCCATCGTGGTGAATAGCGCCGAGGTCGTTAATCCCAGCTGCTCCCACACAACTGCACACCCACACGTCCTCATGCGATCGTGTCGTTCCGAAATTGTCAGATCCACCCGTTGCCGAAATAGTGTTGAAGTTCCGTCTATCGTTTGCAACTAGTCTGCCGAAAACGTCGGGACTCGCGACACAGCTACAGTTCACCCTGCCGCTGCATGGCGTGCCAGACGTACATCGCCGTACATCCCGCCATTTTTGCCACCCCGCGCGCTCCTGGCGACCAACTCCAGGCCGCCTGAGGACTCCCGTGCACTTGTCTCCTCATGTCAAAGCCTTCGTTCTTTTTGGAAGCCAATCCGAAAACTCCGTCCCAACACCCGAAAATTTCGAAATCTCTAACCAACATACCCAAAAAACACTGCGAAAACATCGTAATCTCTTCGACGGAAAATAATTCTATCAACGTCCAGGGAAGGGGAGGACCGGCCAATCCCAGCCGTCCATCGGACAAGATCTGACGGCATCGGCAACGCCCGTGCAATTCATTTCCGCGACTTCCGCTCGCCATCAGCATCCTTCCGCCCCCTTCCCTGATAGGATCTGCTCCCCTACCGGAAGCCTAATGAGTTATAAAATATAACTCAAAGTATAGCGCAAAATACTATAGGGGAACGTGATTACAGAATGTCCAGAATAATGAGTCCTAGGGCTTATATAGTGCGAGTTGACCAGGGTTGAATGTCGAGGGTTGGACCAGTCAAGGGCTCGACAGTCCCCAGGGTGACGGGGTGAAAATGGGTTCGAGGCGACTCGGGATCTGGTTGGTGCCGAAAAGTTCGACGGGGGCTGGTTTGGCGCGAGAACCAAGGGCCGAGCCTACGGAATCGAGAGGTTCGCGTGTACTTGCTGTGGCGAGACCCAGTCAGGAATCGTAATTCCTTACACTCTCCCACCTTCTAAAGGGAAGGCACTCCCTTTATCGAGGTCGAACCTTTTATCTAAAGTTAATCACCAAAATGACTGTACGTCTTCAGCCCTGTGACGAGCGTAAAGATTATGCCGACCTAACGAGGTCTTGAGGTCGAACTGCGATCGATGGTCAGAAAGCGTTGAAACGATCGCTTTTAATCCTGGCCGTCGAAGATGGTCGAATAATTCAGCTGACCGAATGGGCAAGGGTAAATACTCCCAAGTGACGAAATGATGAAGATGACCAATGTTGCTGAATCGTTAACGGTCGCGTGGGCGGGTTATGATGACGTGTTGTAGGGTGATAATGATGACTGCCGAATGTCGCGGTAGTCAGATGACGAAGAGCCGTTTATCAACGCGTGAGGTCGTCCGTGACGCGTACAAGAACACCCGTCGATGTCCCGCGAAAGTCACTGAACTCCGTCAACGGGCTGGCGAACACTGGCAATGATTTGTAACTGCTGCTGAAGTCGGTCGAAGATGAAAAATGAAACACGCCGGAAGGGTCAGACGAAATCTGCAGCGCCACTGCACTTCTCCCCCCTTCTAAGAAGAAACTACTCCCAATGTCCCAGGTAAAACTCCAGGAAACCCAATGCTCCAAGGTAATCGAAATAATCCCACGCTGCTGTTCAAAAGTCTCACACCCAGCTTCGAAGATGCCGCTGCAAAAATCCAACTGCGAGAAACCCCTCACGGCTTCTTAAAGTCTCAGAAATCTATTTCGAAGACGCGACGGAAAATACACCAACATGTAGATCTCCCGAACTGCTTCAGAGTGGAAAACTCCTCCAGGGTAAACCGCTATAAGGGTCTTGAAACTCAGAAGAAACCGCTTCGGAAGACACCCAGGCGAACTCAAACAATCTTCAGAAGCAAAACACTACTTGCGAGCTGGCCCCAACATAGTTCCAACAGTGCTGCTGCCAAATTTTCTATAAATCCGATACGGCTGTTGTCAATTCGGCTGGCGAGTCGAGGCGTATTCATACAGTCAGGTAAATCACGCGAATTGACGATGGAGGCGGTAGCGGGTGATGGCGAGAGGCAGACGACGATGACGATGGAGAGTAACCTATACTGAACCACTCTAGTGAATATCCTCGAACGAAAACCGGCGTCGAATAACGCCAACTGCATCAGCTTCTTTGTCCGTACACGCCAAAAAAATCGAGAAGAACTGAAACAGCGACTGCTCTCCTGCCCCTCCATGCGACCAAAACATTCCGAAAATATCGATGTTGCTCGTACCACTGAAGATAGCAGGCACAACTCCAGCTGTAAACTCTTGAACTGCTCCTCAAGCCCACCGAAAATGTCGGAACCACTCGGTACTTATCTAAGACTGTAGCTCCGCTTCCCAGCTACCTGTACAAATGCCCAGGCGTCACGGCGTCCTTTAGCAGCGCCCCCACAGTTTCTCCACCAGCTGTACGCATGAACTGAACCCTTTATCTTAGGGTTTACCGGAGTCCACCGCCTCGGCATGATGTTTTGGCCGTCGATCAGGGTCAATGCGCATCATACGCCGTCGATCTCCACCCAGCTGTTACCCAACTTTAAAATAATCTGGTACCCCTGCCTGCTGGTCGTGCAGACGTTCACCCATCTCGCGGCTGCTGCAGATTACCCAACACTGCTTCGCTGCTGCTTAACTAATTAGGAGAATGCGCAGACATAGGAGTGCGCACGCTTCTAGTCAGAGGGGCTTTAACGAGCTCGCCTACTGACCGCTGGACAGCTCCCTCCTCCATCGGAAACTCATCGAACTACACCCGCAAAAGTCGGAACCTGTTTCTGCTGCACCAGGTGAAAACCTCAGCTTCGCTGCAACAGTTACTCCTAAAATTTCGGGGACACTACATCAGCACAGTGTAGTTTGCAGATTCACCCCCCTTATTCAGCCAAAAGCCGTCGATTAATAAGTCGACACTGCTACCTAGTGGGAATGGTGACTTTCGGGCAACGTAGCTGAGCGAGTAGCAGCCCGAACGCCGCTAACCCGTCTGCTACATTACTCCCGTCGTTCTTCTCCCACTGCTTCAGCTCCTGACCAGGCCCTGAGATATCAGCCTTTTTAGGCTGATTTGGGTTTCGAGTCCAGGCCATATCTTGGCATTGGCTAGTGCAAATGATACAAAATCTTTTGAGGGACCTGTTGTTGAGAAATAAGTCTCAATGGGCAGTTTGCAAACACTGGAAAATCATAGACAACAGAAAAACAGCCATTGAAATTAAGCTAACTAGGGCTTTAAGGTTGATATCTTAGGGCCTGCTCCTGACAGTTAACGCATTCGGCGACCGGTGGAAAAACACTTAATACACACCCAGGGTTGGTGGCCTTCGTTTCCGTTGATCGTGGGGGTATGAATCGCTGGTCCACAAAAAACGCCTCCCAAGCGGGAAGTCGCCCTCGCTGATTATACTTGCTCCAGTACAGCATCATCACCTCCAGATGGCCGTCGTGGTGAATAGCGCCGAGGTCGTTAATCACAGCTGCTCCCGTACAACTGCATACCCATTCTCGTGCAATTGTGTCGTTCCGAAATTGTCGGATCCGCCCATTACCGAAATAGTGTTGAAGTCCCGTCCATCGCCTGCAACTAGCCTGCCGAAAACGTCGGGACCCGCGACACAGCTACAGCTCACCCTGCCACTGCATGGCGTGCCAGACGTACATCGTCGTACATTCCGTCATTTTCGCCATCCCGCACGCTCGTGACGACCAACTCCCGGCCGCCTGAGGACTCCCGTGCGCTTGTCTTCTGCTCATGACGAAAGCCTTCGCTTTTTTCGGAAGCCTATCCGAAGTCTCCGTCCGAACACCCGAAAATTACCAAAGCTCTAACGAACATACCCGAAAAATAAGTTGAAAATGTCTCTCACTCTTAGACTGGAAATAATTTCGTCCACGCCCAGGGAAGGGGAGGACGAGCCAATCCCAGCCGTCCATCGGAGAGGATCTGACGGCATCGGCAACGCCCGCGCAATTAATTTTCGCGACGTCCGCTCGCCATCAGCATCCTTCCGCCCCCTTCCCCGATAGGGTTTGCTCCCCTATCAGAAGCCTAATGGGTAGGAACGTAGCTCTGATACCTACTGTTATGAATTATAACTCAGAGTATAGTGCAAAATGCTATAGGGGAACGTGATTACAGAATGTGTCCAGAACAATGAGGCCTAGGGCTTATATAGTGCGAGTTGACCAGGGTTGAATGTCGAGGGTTGGACAAATCAAGGGCTCGGTAGTCCCGAGGGTGACGGGGTCAAATTGGGTTCGGGGCGACTTGGGGTGGGGTTGGGGCTGTCGAGGTCGGCGGGGGCTGTTTTGGCGCGAGAACCAAGGGCCGAGCCTGCGGACGCGCACTGTTTGCGTATACTCGGTGTGGCAAGCCCCATTAAGGAAACGTGGTTCCTTACAGTCGTATACCAGCTCCACAAGATTTGCATGTTATGGTTTTCTATGTCTAGGCTTACGTGTCAAGAAAAAATTGTTGAAAGATACATGTTAGAAGGATTTAAACCACCGAATATGATTGAACGGAAACAATTTTTCTTATTATTTATTACTGCTCAAGTTCCAAATGGCTCCCTTTGTAATTGACGTGCTACCTTGCTATAGAAGGTAACACAATTAGGAACTTGTTCTTCATCTACACTCTGTACTGGTTCCAAATCACTCGGACTAAGGCTTGTCAGAATCGGCCATTTGCTGACTCATCTGACGACGAATTGCCGTCATTACCCTTTTGGCGGCTTGGCGCGCATAGCCCAACGTGCTCTAACAACTGCGGGCTTGCGTGGCACTCTCCGTGATCAGGGCTGGCTCCTCAAACGACATTATCCCGGCTGACGGCTGAGTGCGCCGAGCTCACATCAAACCATGCGGCCCGCTGACGTGGTCCCAAACCAGTGGTGTCTGGCTGGTTCGCGGGGGGACCGGATTTTTCTTGTCAGCTGGTTTTCCTTGGGAACTGCTTTCCTTGCCTCCCAAGCCAAACCAAACCAAGCTGACGACAAGCAGCAAAAGTTGGGGTGACGAGCAACGCCTCGATATGTTCAAATTCTGAAAAGCAGAGCTCTCTGGGTAGAAGATATTCTCGAGACTAGTTCATGCGATTCTCACCCGCTCAACCGACCACCGAGGTCCTGAAATTCAGCCTTTCCCTCCACCTACTTTCGAGGTCCGACTTCGCTCACTTCAGCTTCGTTAAATAAACGTCGATTGATCTGGCGACCGTAGAATATTTCCAACCGTCAGCCTGTATTCATTCTAAGAGTGGTAGATTGCCAGTCGATAATCCGCCAGACTTGTAGGCCGAATCTGTTTCGATGAAGTCGTCGTGGATCAAGGCGAGAGCCGCTCTCTCAGTACCGCTCTCCGCCGGCCTGCACCGCTGGAACAACAACGCCGCTACGATGCCTCACAGCGTGGCCTTTCGACCATGCTCGTCCAATAGCCAAGCTATCATCCGGCTAGCCGCGTCATCTCCGTGCGGATCGACGCACCGATCCTCGTCCGTTAACCGTCCGTCGCTCTGCACGCTACAGCCCGTCGCACAGCCGCGATCGTCGCATGTCGCTGGCTCTCGTGCAGTCCGCCTCGCGACCTCTCTCTCCAGCTCCTTCCTCCACCCCGCCGGCTCAGCCGGCGTCCCGATCGCTGCCGTCCCCTGCCGACCTCCAAGACAGCAGCTGACCGTCGCAAGCGGCGCCGCCAGTGCCGGCCAATCGGCTGTGCCTCGCGAACCGCAACGAGCCGCCGGTGACGTGTCAGTCCCTTCCGGCAATGGCGGAGTTTCGGAGATTTACACATCAATCAGAGAGGAGGTCGAGGGAAGCATTTGGCAGGGAGGGAAGAGGCAGCGAGTGGCGTCCGGGGTGGCGTCCGTGGTGGAGGAGGAGGTGGTGGTGGTGGGAGACGTTGCTGCAGGTGCAGGCAGGAGCCAGCAGAGCTACGTGCCGCTGGAGCCCACTCCCATGGTGCAGGAAGCCTGGGACCTCCTCAACGCGTCCGTCGTTCACTACTACAATCAACCCGTACGCTCCTCACCTAGTCTTTCCTTCAGTCCTCACACTCTTTCCTCTGTCTCAACTCCCTCTCCCCTCTCCCCTCTCCCCTCTCCCCGTCCTCTCTCTCACTCTTGACTCTCCCTCAATCTTCCTCCGTCTTCGTCCCTCTCCCCCTTCTTTTCCTCTTGCTGTCGCTCTCCCGTTCTGCATTCGTTCCTCTTCTTTTCAATCAATTCCTCCCTCTCGATTCCCTCCCTTCGCGTCCCCACCAACTCGCTTCCCAGCTTTTCTTCTCTCCCCACTTCTTTCTATCTCATTCCCTCGTGTCCTTAACCCCTCCTCTCCCTCTCCCTCTCTCCCTCCCACGTGACAGCTGGCAGGGTGGTTTCTGCCTCCTTGGCTCCCTATGAAACACTCTCATACACCCACATCACGTTTCTTCTTACAATCGTATATGCTCGTGAAACAAAGTGTTCTTCCTTCGCCTGTCAGTCCCCCCCCTCTCCATCGCTTCTACCATCATCCGTCCCCTTGTCTATGTCACCAGGTGGGCACAGTGGCTGCATCGGACCCCACGTCGACCACGCCCTTGAAATACGACCAGGTGTTCATCCGCGACTTGAGAATTCTCATTCTGCAACTTCTATCCGTCTCCCTGTCTTATCACCGCAGGTGGGCACAGTGGCAGCGTCCGACCCCACGTCCACCTCGCTGCTGAACTACGACCAGGTGTTCATCCCACAACCATCTCCCCTCTCCCATCGCACTCTCCCCCTGTCAACAGGTGGGCACGGTGGCAGCGTCCGACCCCACGTCCACCGCGCCGCTGAACTACGACCAGGTGTTCATCCGCGACTTCATCCCGTCCGCGCTCGCCTTCATGCTGTCGGGCCACCACGAGATCGTGCGCAACTTCCTGCTCTACACGCTGCAGCTGCAGGTGAGTCACTCTCAGGTCAGTCACGCTCTGGCTGGTGCATGGTACAGGGCCGCTAGTGTGCCTTCATGCTGTCGGGCCACCATGAGACCGTGCGCAACTTCCTGCTCCACACGCTGCAGCTGCAAGTCAGTTGCTCTCAGGCCAGCTTTCCTCCTACACGCTGCAGCTGCAGGTGAGTCCCTGCCTTGTGTTTTGGTCCTCTTACAAGCAGACTTCACGCGCTGCAGCTGCAGGTGAGTAGCGCTCAGGTCAGCTTTCCTCCTCGCGCGCTGCAGCTGCAGGTCAGCCTCTCATTCCTTTTTTCAGATGGTATCTCATTTATTCTCTGAATCCATCTCCCATGCTTTCCACTCATTGTATCTATTGATTTGCTGACCCCATGTCTCGCTGCTGACTTCCTTCCGTGTGTGCATGCGTGCATGTGGGTGCATGTGGGTGCATGTGGGTGCATGTGGGTGCATGTGGGTGCATGTGTGTGAACGTGTGCATCAAATGTGGGGTCATCAGAGCTGGGAGAAGACGGTGGACGCGCACAGGCCAGGCGAGGGGCTCATGCCGGCATTTCTTGATCTGATGAGCCATGGCTCACCACTTCTCTCCCCTCCCATGTGTGCGCCTCATCTCCTCCCATCAGAGCTGGGAGAAGACGGTGGATGCGCACAGGCCAGGCGAGGGGCTCATGCCGGCGAGCTTCAAGGTGACGCAGACCCCCGTGGAGGACAGCGCCGCTACAGGCGGGGCCGCCTACGAGGAACACCTCGACCCCGACTTTGGCGAATCCGCCATCGGCCGCGTGGCGCCCGTTGACTCTGGTAACCAGCTACACTTTGGTAACCACCTTCCACTCTGGTAACCACCTCTGATTCTGTCCACCACTGTCTACTCTGGTAACCACCACTGACGTTGGCAACCGTTATTTGACGGATGTATGTCTTTGTCCCGAGCTAATGTGGAGCGAATAGCATGCATTCTCCGCAATCCCCAGTCTTTACGCATTCTCTTTTCCCGTCCGTCCGAGCTCTCCACCTCCTGAGTTCTCTATGATTTCGGCTGTCTTCTCCCTCCTCGTCCTTCCCCAGGCCTGTGGTGGGTCCAGCTGCTGCAGGCATACGGGCGGTGCACGGGCGACCTGCGTGCCTCCCTCTACCCATCTCCTCAGTTCCTTGTTCTGCATCCTTCCCTCCCCCTCCCCCTTCCCCTCCCCCTCCCCCTCCCTCCCCCCTCCCCCTCCCCCTCCCCCTCCCCTCCCCCTCACTCCGCCCCTCCCCCCCCCCCCTCGAACCGTATCCGTGCTCAGGCCTGTGGTGGATCCAGCTGTTGCTGGCGTATGGGCAGCGCACAGGCGACCTGACTCCCCACCTGCCCTTCCTTCCTCACCCGTCCCCTACTTCGCTACCCTTTTCCCTCACCAACCACCCCCCCCAGGCCTGTGGTGGATCCAGCTGCTGCAGGCGTACGGGCGGTGCACGGGCGACCTGTCCCTGCAGCAGCGCGTGGACGTGCAGACAGGAATAAAGCTGATCCTCAAGGTGTGCCTGGCGGACCACTTCGACATGTTCCCCACGCTCATCACCACCGACGGCTCCTGCATGATCGACCGGCGCCTGGGGATTCACGGGCACCCCCTGGAGATCCAGGTGAGCTCACCCTCTCCATGCCTGCATGCATGCATGGGGCTCATTCTCACGGTCTGCTCCCCACGGACCGCTCCTGCATGATAGCCACCGCTGGCTGGGGATTCACTGGCACCCCGTAGAGATTCTGGTCAGCATGCTGCTCTGTGGAGCCATGGCAGCTTACGGTTGTATCAGCATGGCATACTGCTCAGTGCACGCTCGTCAACTCATCCACCTGTGCATATGCATCTAGAGTCCAGAATGGCTGTTTTCTGCTGCTTTTGCTCTCTTTCCTGCTATGCTGTGATCCCTTATGCCCACCCTTGATCTCCAGCACTCCGGCCCCAGCACTCCGCACTCCTTCCTCAACACTACCTACGTCATCCTCTGCTATCTGCTTCACCATCCGCTCTCAACCCTTCTCAACCCCTCTCAACCCCTCTTATCCCAATACAGTCCCTGCTGTATGGCGCCCTGCGTGCTGCACGCGACATGCTGATCCCAGAGGGCGACAGCATCGACCTCATCCGCGCGGTCAACGCGCGCCTCACCGCACTCTCCTTCCACATCCGCCAGTACTACTGGCTGGACCTCCCCCGCCTCAACACCATCTACCGCTTCAAAACCGAGGAGTACTCGCACGACGCCGTGAACAAGTTCAACATCTACCCCGACCAGATCCCGCCCTGGCTCATGGACTGGATCCCCGACCGGGGGGGCTACTTTGTGGGGAATGTGCAGCCGGCTCATATGGACTTTAGGTGGTTTGCGCTGGGGAATTTGTGGGCGATTGTGAGCAGCCTGGCGTCGCACGCGCAGGCGGAGGCGATTCTGGACCTGATGGAGGAGAAGTGGGAGGAGCTGGTGGGCGGCATGCCCATGAAGATCTGCTTCCCCGCGCTGGAGAATGGCGAGTGGCGGATCATCACTGGGGCGGATCCCAAGAACACGTGAGTCAGAGTGGGACGGGACATGTGCCTGCAGTGCATGGGCTGGGTGCGAGAAACATGGTGAGGGGAGAAGGTGTGCTGGAGAATGGCGAGTGGCGAATCATCACTGGGGCCGACCCCAAGAACACGTGAGTCAGTCAGGGTGGGATGGGACACATGCGTGGGGTGGTTGCATGGGCTGGCTGCATTGGGGGTGGGTGCTGATGCATGGGTTGTGGTAGAGGAAAAGGTGCACTGGAATATGGCGAGTGGCGGATTGTCACAGTGTCGGATCACAACAACACGCGTCGGATTGTGCTGTCTAGCTAGGGCAGGTTCCTGGGCTTCGCTTTGCTGGGCCTTAGGGATCGTAAGGCAGCAATTGGATTCCTGTGGCTCTTCGTGGTACCTTGGATTCCAATTGCTGCCCGTTCTTGAAACATCCATGCGGTCGGGCTATCGGACTCCACTAGCCACTATTTCCCCTGCCTCCTCTCCCCATCCTTCCTCTCTTCTCTTCCCTCACCATTTCCCCTGCCTCCTCTCTCCCCCTCCCCCTCCATATCAGTACATGGTCCTCTCCTGTCTACCACAACGGGGGCTCATGGCCCGTGCTGCTGTGGCCCTTCCCAGCGGCGTGCCTCAAGGTGTCCCCTCCCTTCCCTCCTCATCCTCCCCCTCCCGTCCCTTGGTCCCCCCCTCACCTCCCCCCTCAGCGCATGGTCGTACCACAACGGCGGCTCATGGCCCGTGCTGCTGTGGCCCTTCACTGCTGCGTGCCTCAAGATGGGGCGCCCTCAGCTGGCACAGCGGGCCGTGGAGGTGGCTGAGAGGCGCCTGCAGGCTGACAGATGGCCCGAATACTATGACACCAGGTACAGATGGTGTGACACGAGGTACGGATGGTGTGACACCAGGTACAATGCTGGTATACATGGAAGTGTGAGACTAGGTTGATTGATCTGATGCGGTGCTGTGTGCTATGGGTATGTGTGGTTATAGATAGAAGTGCGAGAGGGTTTAGTAGGACTGAGGCAGATCTTCTTCACATGTGCTATGCGGAACTCATATTCACATCTCTCTGTGACCCATTCCCATTCTTCCCGCTCTCCCCCGAGGCGCGGTTGGGTATTGGCAAGCAGGCGCGGCTGCACCAGACGTGGAGCACAGAGGGCTACCTCACTCACCTCCAAACCGCTGCTCTCCAGTCGCTATGCTGTCTCACTACTTTTCAAGTGTTTCTCCCACCCCCCCTCACTTTTTCCCCCCAGGCGCGGGCGGTTCATCGGCAAGCAGGCGCGGCTGCACCAGACGTGGAGCATAGCGGGCTACCTCACCTCCAAGCTGCTGCTGGCCAACCCGCATGCCGTGTCGCTGATAGCAGCTGACGAGGACTGGGACATCATCAACGCCTCCACCACCCTCCTCGCCTCCAACCCCCGCCGCCGCCGCCACAGACCAAACCCCCTGCCCTCGCCGCTCTTCTGAAGGCTTGATGATTGACCTCGTCGTCACTGTGCTTATCGGAAGGCATATTGTGTATATTTGGCGGTTTTCCAAGCGTCTCCATCTCCAAGGGTATTCCTTCATTTGTTCTTTGCCTCTTCAAGTTTTGTGTTGTTCAGCCTCAGTGCGCAACGCACTTGGAGGATTGAAGTACCTTATTACAATGTGTGTCGAGCCAATGTATGCCAACCGATGCGATGTTTCATTTTTGCTTATTAATCATATTTTTGGTTCTGGTGAAGCCTTCCAACACTTCAAGCATCAACAATGCGATTTAAGCAACACCGTTATGTTCCTCTAGTGCTAGGATCCCTGTTATGAATTATAACTCAGTATAGCGCAGAATACTATAGGGGAATGTGATTACAGAATGACGATAGAAATGAGGCCCACGGCTTATATAGTGCGAGTTAACCAGGTTGAATGTCGAGGGTTGGACCACTCAAGGGCTCAGTAGCAGGGCTTCAGATTGGATTTTGAGGGGCTGTTGGCTCAGGGTGCCCCCAGCAGGAACCCCCATTTTTCAGGGTCTGGTTTTGAAAGATGCATATTTTTTCAGGGTAAAAAAATTCGAAGGCTGAAAGTTCAGGACTAAAGATTTACAGGCCTGACATGTTAGTGTTGAACTTCTGCATTTTTTTTGGGTGGGTTTGCTTTTGACCTAGCACAATGTGTTAGACTGAACGTTGACTTGTTTGTTTCAATGTTTTCATGGTATACACTTGGTAGACAATTTTAGAAAAGCACAGCCTATGGTGCTGCTGCTGCTGCCTTTTGTGTTGACTTAATGCCGCATACTACTACTACTGATGCTGCCAGCCACTCTTGCTGCTAGAACTCTTACTGCTCTTCCTGCTGCACCCAACTGCTCCATGTGCTGCCGCTGCTGCTGCCGGTGTTGGTGTTGTTGCGTCTGACGCTGCTCCTGCTGCTGCTGCTGCTGCTGCTGCTGCTGCTGCTGCTGCTGCTGCTGCTGCTGCTGCTGCTGCTGCTGCTGCTGCTGCTGCTGCTGCTGCTGCTGCTGCTGCTGCTGCTGCTGCTGCTGCTGCTGCTGCTGCTGCTGCTGCTGCTGCTGCTGCTGGTGGTCCACCTGCTACTCCTCGTCTTCCTCTGACTCACTTCCACCGCTGCTGCACTCCTCCTCACCCTCTGATGCATACCAGAAATCCTCATCGACCTCTCCTCCACCAACCCCCCCTCCTCTCCCCTCCTTGTTCCCCTCCTCCAGCTCCTCTTCCACCTCCTCCCCTGGCCCCTCCACCACCTTTTCTTTCCCCTTCAAGCTCTTCACCCGACCTCGGGGGTGGATGCGGGTGGAGAACTGCTTCCACTTCTTCCCTCGAAACACCTTCACCACCTCCTCCCAATCAGGCTCATAGTCGAGCAACGCCATGCTCATGAGGCTTTCGAGCGTGGCATTTCCTAGGCTGCCTCGGCACCAGCTCTTGATGATGTTCTGCCGACTGAAGGCGCGCTCACACTCCACCGTAGATAGTGGCAGCACTGCGACCGCGACCCACAGGCGGCCCAGGTTCGGGAAGCCTTTTGTCCAGTCATCCGACTTCAGCATCGCCGCCAGCTCCTCGTAGAACTTCCGCTCCCCCACGGGAGCATCTTTTAGTTGGGAGATGAGAGTCTGCAGCTCCCTGGTTGCCGCCCTCTTGTTAACACCTGCACAGAATCAGAGGGCGCAAGGGGAGGAGAATGTGTGGTATAGATGCAGGCCGTTAGTATGGGGATAAGGATGACACGCAGGCATGATGCATGGTTACAGCTGGGTTCATGCACGGTTAGCAACGGCTTACCTGGCAGAACCTCCCGACGCCCGGCGGCGCGGAAGAGGTTGAACAAACTCTGCAGCCAGTCCATGCACTGGCTGTTCCGCTCCTTCCTCCCTGGCGGCCATGCTTCCGGGGTGAAGAGCCTGCACCCGATGAGCTTCTCCAGGTCGCCCAGCCGCTCAACAATGTTCTGCTCGGTCGCCTTGGCGAATCTCATGCAGATGCTGCTACACTCGTCGTGGTCCTCGCCAGGGCGCTCGTCGTGCATGTCAAACTTGTGCACGATTGATGTGCCGTCGGACTTGCATCCCTCAATGGTGACGGTGCGGCTGGTGCGGTGCGCTTCGATGAATGCAGTGAGGAGCGGCGAGTTGCCACCCCCGAAGGTGCTGCCGCACTCGATGTACCGCTGCTTGATGTAGACGACGGTCCTCCGAATAAGGCCCTGGACGACCGTCAACTCGACCTATGGTAGGAGAGGGCTTGGGCAGATAGCTCAGGGAGACACACGATTAGACAAACATAATAGGACCATGCAAGGAACCAACCTGGCGGGCTTGGAATTTTTTGTTGAGGCTGTTCCGTAAGCCAAGCATGTCAGCCAGAAAGTAGAGGAAAAAGTGAAACTAGTTGCTTTTTACGATGTTGTACATCTCCTGGTCATACTCAAGAAGTAGAATGACCACAGCTGGTAGCACGTCGACGAGGCGGGCGATCGCCTCACCTCGAGATAGCCAGCGTATATTGAAAATACCCTGCATCTCGAGGTTCGTCTGGGTGAAGACGTCTTGGAGGTTTTTGAAGCGTGCGTGCCAGTTTCCAGAGTGACCCAGCAACTCAGCAATGGTCCGGATGAGCTTGTCGACCACTGCTAGCTCTGGAACGGCGGTTGCAGCATCCTTCGCAGCGAGGGCCTCCCTGCGTACACAGCAGAAACAGCAGAAGAATCAGCGTTGTGATCAGACAGTAGCTGGAGAGGCACAGCGAGTACAGACACCAGAGTCGTCAGAAGTCATGGTCGGGTAACGGGAAGTGAGAGGCAAACACATGCACCGTGGCTCACCTGTGAGCTATGCAGTGGCAGGACACCAGCCACAGTGACATGGCACGCATGCGAGTGACGAGGCCGGTGTTGGAGCCTATCATGACAGCAGCCCCATCCGTGCTGATGCCGGCAATCTTGTCGGGGTGCACGCCAATCTTGGCTAGATGTTCCTGAATGAGAGCATGAATAGATGCTGCATCGCACTGTTCCAGTGTTAGCAAGGCATTGAACTCAGTCACAACATGCCCATCACGCAGAAATGTTACAAACAGAATCAAGTGTTTCCCTCGAGTGCGGTCAGTCGACTCGTCGCAACTCAGCCCAATGAAGGGACTCGTGTGAATGTGGCGTAGCTGAGAAGCATGAAGCCAATTTGACAGAGACTGCATCAGTTGCGCGAAGCCGTATCTGCATGGGGTGTAGAGCTCACCACGTGAGACAAGGCATTCGTAGGCATAAGTGAGGAGCGGGAAAAAACATTCACGTCCTAAACTCACGAGGTGTAGTAGGTTCCGTAGCTCTTTTTTGGAAAGCCGGGGCACTTCCGCTTCGCTAGGAAGCGGACGAGCGTCACCCAAGTGTTGATCGGCGCATCGCACTGGCAGATGAAATGCAGGACCCACAGCAGCGCGATGAGTCGTCCCTTCTCGAGATCTTGGGCCTGTGGGAAGTCTGATATCTTCTTCTGCTTCTGAGCGTCTTCCATGGCCTTCCTCTTCGCCTTGATGCATGCCTTGTGCCGTGTTGACCGCCCATGCCTCTTCATAGCCTGTGGCTGCACGTCAACTGCGCCCTCCCCATCTCGACCATATTTGGTGCCCAGGACGCCATGATCTGTACACACAATACATCGCAGGGATGGAAGGCCATTTTTAGTACGACATAGGAGCAACCAAGGAAACCGCTCTTGCCAGTCTGACTTGAAATTTTGCAGAGCTTGAAGATACAACAAGTCAGCAGCCTCTCCAAATTCCTCATCAGCGGTGGCTGACGACTCGATGCGCGACTCCAGTGGTGTCGCAGTAGAAGGGCCGGCCACTGGAGTCGCACTCGTTGGCATAGTTGACGCAGCACCGCCTGCCGACTGCTCGGCATGCCGTGTTGTCGTTGCTGGAGAGGCTGCATCCACCGGTGGAGCACGTGACGGCTTGTGCCTCCGTGATTGAATGGTGGCACGAGCTGTGGCGAACGTGATGGCGGCAGGATGTTTGTTGACGGTCGTCGGAAGCCGAAACGACAACAACGCTTGACGGTACGTTCGTTTCGGGGGAGAATTAGGCGCACCGCGATCTGCTCCACTACCGCCATCATCGGCCGCTCCGACCGCCTGCCCTGCGTCGCCTTCTGGGCTGCGAGGGTGGGGCGACACACGGCCAGCATCACCGCACGGGCTGCGTGGGATCGGGGAGAATTGTGGAGCATCGTGAGCCGGCGAGCGGGGCAGCGGCGACGAGCCAGAGTCGTCACGCGCAGGGCTGCGCACAAGCGTGAACCCACGTGCAGCCTCGGCAGAAGGGATGCAAATGCTCGCGGCCAGTGTTAATCGCGGGGCTCTGAGGCGTAGTAGACGCAACAGCAGATCTACGCTGCGGACTGCTAGGCAGGGGAGGGAAAGGGTCGATACGAGTATCGGCGACACTCCACACGGCGCCCTGCCTTGCAGGACGCACAAGAACATCCAGTGCTGATTGTGTTACAGGCAGGGCACTGGCTTGCCCTGCGGCCTCCTTGCTGCTGCGCCGTTTTGAGCCTTGCACCTGCCATCCCACATCGTCGCTCATGGCGTTAGATGGTGAGTGAGAGACAGTCGAGCAGGTGGTGAAGAGAGACACCACAGAGCAGCTAGCGAAGGTGGGGCGAAAAAACTGAGTGAGCTACAAGCCTTTTGCTACGTTTGCCCGCCCCGCAAGAAAGCGATGTACCAGGAGGAGCATGCTCGACTGGGACGACGAGGGGTTGAGTGGTGGTCGCACGCACCACGCGATACGGTGTGGCAGCGTGCATGCCAGCTTGATCGAAAGATGGGTGCATCGTCGTCGGCCTGGCAGGTAGCGGGTGCACAGTAGTAACACGGCACGACCCCCGATTGGTTGGTAAACCCCTGACTTCGCCCTAGACCAATCCTGCTCCTAACAGCTGTTCCAGCACACCCTCTGCTCCACGAAGCTGCTTGTAATTTTGACTAAGGACCAATCACCAGCCTCCTCTCACGTGCTCTTTGACGAGGGATGTGTTTTTGGTAAAGGACCAATCACGCCCCTCACACGTGCTCCATAACACACCCCATTCCAGCCGCGATTGTCGGGGGGGGGGGTATCGAAAAGACTTTGTTTCAGGCTGAAAATCCGTTAAGGCTGATAATTCAGGGTGACCAAAACAAGAACATACTAAAATTCAGGCCTGCTCAAATGAGAACCCCTAAAATTCAGGCCAAGGGAAAATCAAAAGCTGAAAAAACAAGACGACCCTAAAAAAACACCCTGATATACAGCATTTCAGGGCATTTTGTCCTGACTCCTGAAGCCCTGCTCAGTAGTCCCGAGGGTTACGGGGTCAAAATGGGTTCGAGGCGACTCGGGATCAGGTTGGGGCCGAAAAGGTCGACGGGGGCTGGTTTGGCGCGTGACTTGAGGGCCGAGCCTGCGGAACCGAGAGGTTCGCATGTACTCGCTGTGGCGAGCCCCAGTAAGGAATCTTAATTCCTTACAATCCCAAACACCAGCCATCACTGGCCTTTGAGGGTTTGTAAGAGTGTGTTCCTACGGACCTCGTCCAAGGCTAGCCTTCTTCCCAGATTCGCCGCTCGCCTGGGAGCGTGTTCGCAGAACCCCGTTTCAAACAAATTCCGTTTCAGATTTGCGTTCCAGGGTTTGGGATCCACAACATAAAACATCGCGTCGAAATTGCGCTGTATAGATTCGCGTATGCCAGGAAAGAGGACGCAAGAAAAGGATGTCGGAACACGCCCTGAATTTCGGCAAACCCAATGTCGCGTCGCACCACGCGGAACCGTAGTGAACAACTTCACGTCAGATTTTGCGACACTGTAGCGCGTGAGTCTGGGAAGAGGTAGGCTGGGAAGAGGTTCGTAAGAACACGCTCTAAAGCACCACAATAACTCGCACTAGCTTTCCTGCATTTCTGCACACGGCACAGGTTATCGGACTAACCTGCCAAGTCACGCAGGGCAGCTGATTGTTGAACAATACGTAGGATTCTCTTGAACAGCAATTTCGACACACTTGCGCCTAACCCGCGCCATCTTCGTAGTTTCACTTGTCGCTCCACGCCTTACGCCCGACTGCTTCGTTCGTATTGCTCCATTACGTGGAGTTTGATTGGCTGCTT